GGGTTTGGGGTTTGTTTGTTTTTGTGTCGGAGGTTTTGGGTTCGGGTGTTGGAGGTTTTGGGTTTGGGTGTTGGAGGTTGAGGTTTCCGAAGGGATGTGTTTGCAAAGTTTTATTGCTCTTAATATTATAATAACTAGAGGACATCCACCCTCAAGCTCAATTCAGTTGTAGCAGTTGTTTCAGGTCTCATTGATTTACTAAAATCAATAGTCAACACTGGTTTTTGTTCATCTTGTTGTTCTCCGCTTACACAGGCGTTTCTCCGGTGGTAACGAATCAGACGCATCAAGTCGCTCTGCCTCGACGTCTAGGCCTACAACTGGGCGTCAAGGACAACGTGGTGGAAGACGTGAAGTTGCGCCAACTTCTCACGGTGTTGGTGGATCTTCTGGGAGCCGTGACGACTCCCGTGGAAGTGGTACTGTAAAGCGTGAACAAACCACTGTCTCGTCTCCTGCGGTGCTGGGCGGAGAATCTCAGTCTCGTCCTTTGTTGGACGAAAGCGAAGATGGGAGAAGTGCGACTGCTGCCTCTTCTACTACGGAAGTGTTGCCAGGAGGTGGTCGTGGTCGTGCTGGTGGGCGCAGTAACATTATGATCACTCTTCTAGATATCTTTCGGTAGACGTAGAGAAGATACTAGTTTTTGGTCTTAAAGGTGAAACTGAAACTCGATGTACATCTAGCAATTATATAAGCTAAAGCTTTATTCTGGGATTTTTATTTGACTCGATTCTTCTAATTCCAGTCAAGCTCGAGTACCGGTCTCGTCCAGAACTAGAGCCAGCAAAGCACGAAAGACTAGTGAAGCTGCTCCTTCAGCGGCTGGCTTCGTCGCGGAGGGAGACCCTGGGGATCCGATAGAGGAGGAAGGATCTGATTAAAGCAATATTCAAGACGAACAAGAAGAAGCCTTGGAGATATGGTTCCTACTTTAAGACAGAACAAGACGAAGCCTATCAAAATGGTCAGACGAACAAGAATACTAGAACTAGACACAGTGTGCACGCAGTACTTAAATTCCTATGACTTCTAGAAGATCTACTACAGTATTGACTCTAGCACTGGCACAACACATGGAGAAGAGAGATGACGACATAAACGAAGTCGATCGAACGCAGAACAAATACGCCTTAATCTATAACTTATGCTCTAAACATTTTCATATGGACATGCAGCATAATGGTAGATACCATTTTAAGTAGTTTTTATTTGACAGACTTTCGTATTCCCGCATCAAAATCGGTCGAAGCTCATGTTTCTTTGTAATAAGGTATACTATGTCTCTACTGGAGGTTGATGTTGTATCACTATCATCTAACTGTAACTAACGCATAAGGAAATAACACTAGTGAATAACAACGCGTTTTTTTGACGACGCAACATTTTTGGTAGGAGAAAATGGGATTGAGCATGGTTTTTCGGAAATGAATGAACATCAACATGAAGATGCGCAAGAACTGAGCATTGCCTGCATGAAGAAGGTTCGAAGATATATCGCAATTTGGCACGATCTTTAAGCAGTGTCAATGTTGAAGAAGTACAAGCAGTTGGTAATGAGTTTACTTTCGAGTTGTGTCCACCCTTTGGTATTTTTTGACTTCGAAATCAGACGAGCGCAAAAGAGGGAAAGGGAAACGTCAGTGAGCACACCTTAGGAAAACGAAAAGTTGTTACTTATGGATACTTTTCAGAATGCATATCAGACTCGTTGTTCATTCGCCATTCAAAGCAGACCAAAATGAAACAAGCTCATTTGATTGCATCAAACAATTATTGACATAAGTTACTCACGAAGGCACATCATCATTGTAATCATTAACATTATTCATTGACTCGTTTAACTTTCGAGTCAAAGAAGTCTGCACTGAACTTTGTGCGAGCGATCGCACTACAAAAAAAAAAAATCTGTTTTGAGTGATGAGATAATCCCGAGTGGTCCTTCGGGAACGCCAGAGGGGTTAGCGAATGTCCTTGTTCTGTCTTGAGTGCTTCGAGTTGTTGATAAATTAGATTTACTAACTTGAGCGTCGTTATTTCTAGAGGAGGCGCTGTTCCTTGGTGAGTAAGGAGGTCGAGACTACTTCGATATAGATACAAACTTGCGCGCTGTTAGAGTTCTTTGAGATGGGTAGACTTATGCAACGTAATTGAAAGGGGGAGAGCGTCCCATCGCTCTCCCTCACCGATTTTTTATCTCCCGCCCGTTTGTGGCTATCAGGCATAAGGTAGCCCCTTTGGTCGGAGTCAGCCCTCCAATTTTTGCTTTTTGTTTTTTCTCTCATCGGCTGCATAGCGGGAGGAGCCGGCCACAAGAAGAAAGTGATGCATGAAGATGAAGAAAAACCTTAAGCAACTAGTAGCGTGTAGTGTTCCTTCATCAATCTAATCAACATGCATGTTTTTACTTAGAACAAAACATCCGCCTAGTTCGCACCAGCAATAAGTTGCCGCGCAGCTCCACCTAGGGCCATTGTGTAAATATTTGATTTGACTAAGCGGACAGCGCTCCGCCGCCCAAACGTAGCATTCATCATAGGCGCGTAATGGGGAGACGGGCAACGCCCCGGGTGGCAGGTACTAGGTGTGTAATTATCCCTGCCTTTGCTCCTAGGCTTGACCATTTTGGAATCGTAGGGGCAGTAGCGTAGTTTGTTAAGGAGATTAAGAACTCCCCCCTACGCCGGTAGCTACGCGGAAAATACGCAGGTAGGATTTGATTTATTGGAACTCGCTCGCAAAATACGCAGGTAGGTTTTGATTTATCGGAACTCGCTCGCACTACAAAAAAAAAAAAAAGCGAGATAAATTGTATTGTATTGTAACTGCCTCACATTTTCCAACATGGCCTCGTCGTCCCCTTCCACCTCGAGCTCTTCGAGAGACCACCCCAACGCCTCCTCAACATTGGAGTCGGCATTTGCTGGCGTACTAGGTTCCCAGATGGCCCTTGTAATACTCTACCCCGTAGACCAGTTGCGACTCTTTGCTCAGCTTGGTCATGGAAGTTAAGGTTACCGCTGATCAATCTCTAGTGCATGGGGATCCTTCTTTTGTATAGAAGGGTTCTTCCTGATGAGCAAAAGTACTCCACAAGAAACTGTCAAGACTTTCCCACTGAATAACATTTCACGAGGGTCACAATGAGTACTTCACTCTGTGAGTAAGTAGGATTTCTGTTTGAGAATTGAAAAATTCATCTAGTGGAGTTCTTCAGTTTTGGTCCTCATCAGGGGGTGCCTGCTCTAATCTCTAGGGTATGGGGATCCTTCTTTTGTATTAGCTGAACTAGGGATCCGGATCCTCCTTATGGAGATGAATTAGGGTCGCTTAGCTCTAAGGAACGCAGACGTGGACGTGGAGAGACCTGTATGGAGGTCTCATTCCAATGATGCAGTCTAGCGCAATCAGCAATTTCCTCTATTTCTTCGTCTACGATTTCGTACGGTCGAAGGTTCTTGGCGGCGTTGGGTCTTCTACTGCCTCGCGTGGAGCAGGTGGTGGTGGGACGACGACGTCAGAATCGGAAATTAAGGAAGGCTACTTAAGTAGAAGTGCCTCATAGCCATCCTTCTAAATACAGGGACCCCTCTTCTGTAAACAAGGGATACGCTTGGGGAACGATCATCACGTGGATGGTATGAAAAGAAAATCTGTTATCATTATCAAGTTTCTGAAGTAGAAAAGTACGATAATGATAACAGATTTGGGTTTCATAGATGGATTAGGCCTACTACCAGAATTGGGGGTACCTCAAGCTCTAAGGAAAGGAAATCTGCAGCATTGCTTTCACCGGTTATCCGTGACCTGGTATCCGCCACGATAGCCGGCGTAGTGAATGTACTCCTGACAGCACCCCTGTGGCGTGCAAATTCGCTTTTTAGAGAACCAGCCACAGTGATAAATAAGGACGTGATGGGAGCTGCTCGTGCTGGTACGAATGCAAATAACTCCATTAAGGCAACCAAGAGAGCATCCTGAGCAATCAGAATGTCCTTGGCCATTTTCCCAAACGAAGGGGCCACTTTCCTAAATGTGAAAGACGCCAAGGATGCGGTCAGGGACTCGAATCCGGTATGTCTAACTCCAACTCGAGAGCAGGAGCAGCACCTCTTCCAGGAGTATCACCGTCAGAAAGTACTTCAGGAGTTTCTAGTGGGTTGGATGATATAGGTGGAGGTGAAGTACAAGTAGGAGACAGAAACACAGGATCACCAGGACAGCCAGAACAAGGCGAGAACATCGTTGCTTTTTTTCATGGAACTAGAGGTAGTAGCCCACAACATTCTATAGCCGGCTCTGGTGGTGCCACGAGGCGTCCGAAATCGTCGAGAAAGAGTTATTCCCCAAGGGCACGTGGCTCTCCGAGGACACCTCCACCATCCAGTCACATTAAGGTTGGTACTGGCATCATCATGATCATGATCATGCGTTTGTGAATGGAAAATGGTTGCATTTGTTGATGTAGATTCAAATAATTAAGAGCCAAGACCAAGTGCAAGTAGTGAATCAAAATTAGTATCAACCATCATACGCGCGGCTGACAGTCCGCCCTACGCTTATTCGTCTAATATCCGAACCTTCCTGGCTCATTCGCCTTCGTTTTTTACTCCTCAATATTCCGGGGGAGGCGGAGACAACGCCTCATCGTCTCTTACAGCTACTGCCAACAGTGTCTTCTTCGAGTTCACCAAACTCTTCATTGCAGTCTATCGCCTAGCAAGGCACGACTTCGTATGACATTGAAAAGTGCACTCAAACTCATACTCAGTTATAAAGTTAGCTGCGAGGAGGATTCAACAACAACTGGGAAACTTCTTCTACTCAGTAATTATAGAGTTAGCTGCCAGGATTCAACAACAACTACAGGGAAACTTCTACTACAACTACCACCTGATAAAAATTTACTGAGCAGAAGTTTGAGTACACTTACATATTTGTCCTGTCATACTTCGCTGATCTGATGTCTGGCGTATCCGCAAGCCTTTTCCTGGTTTTGAATCCGGTAGTACAATTTGTGGTGTACGATTCTCTGCGACGCCTTGCCCATGGACGGTTTTATGAGGTAGTTGTAGATCGTTGTGCTTGATGAAAAAGTGAAAATGTAGTTGTACATCTACATGTACTCTTTCTGAGGAGAAAAAACAATGCTGATTGACTCTAACACCTCTATCAACTACAAGCACTAATTGTGCTGCCGTTCAGCTCTTCTAGACTACCTCTACTTCCAAGGTAAAGAACTCCTCATATATTTCATCATCATTCTTTCATCATTCCTGACCCCGTCCCACCTTCCCCCATCTAATCCCCAACCTTCCTTGCGGATTCTCGGTACTTCTTCCTGGGTCTCATAGCGAAGCTGTTTGCAACTTTGTCGACCTACCCTATGCAGATCGTACAGACACGTTCACGCGCTTCCCAACGTCGAAGACATCGCTATGTACTGGGAAGTTCTCCCAGTCCTGCTCGATCCAGCTCGTCATCCCCAAGAGTGGCCGTGCCACCTCCGGTAAAAACTAGTACTACATCACGAACTGAAGATGTAGCAAACAAAAGTCGTACTAGGGCTGCAGGTGCAGGAGGAGCACGAGGGCCATCATCGTTTCATGATCAGGAAGCTACTGGAAGAACTACGTCAGCTACATCTGCATCTTCTACAAAGATTGACAGAACAGGCACTACGGTTTTGAACCTATTTTCGATGACGCGGGTTTTGTTGAAGCTGTATAAGCAGGGTGGGATCAGAGCGCTCTATGTGGGCATGGAGAAGAAACTACTGCATAGTCTGTTGAATTCAGCCTTTCTCTTCTTCTTCTATGAGAAAATAAAAAAGCTTTGGGTAGAACGACGAAGAGGGAGAACTTCATTAATATCATAAGACAATTATGTTAAAAAAGCAGTGATCACTTGGGAAAACTACTAGAAAACAAGAGCTTACCAGTTACCACTCAGCATGTTTTTGTCTATTTGATTCTGCCATCTAGATCTACGTCGAGATCGACAAGGGAATCTACTTTATTTATTAAAATTCAACAACGAATGAGGTAGTAGTACGCCTCCCCGACAAGAACATATAACTCGAGTCCATGTATGAGAATACGCAGACAGCAGTGGCAGAGATGACGAGACTCCTTCACTGAGGTGAAGCTGGCAACCAATACGAAAAGGCAGCACTAGTGTTGTGCGGACAACTTGCGGCGTCAAGAGGCGAATTCCATAACTATTTAAGAACAAAGGTCCTTAAATAGTCATGGAATGTTGACAATTATAACAGAATGAGAAATGAGCAGGACTCCAGTGACAAGCTCCTTGTTGTAGTTCCTACAGCACGCGAAATAATAGTCCACCTCTAGCTCTACGTCGTATACGATCATTAGTATTAGAGAATTATAGCGCGATCTTAGCGATTTTTAGTACCTTCCGTCTGCAGCTGAGATCTTGAATCGAGTACAAGTAGAAAGTGTAGATCAACTACATTGGAGTAGTAAGTTTCAGCCTCTCCTCAAAGAGGCTTGCTGTTGAGGTCACGCATTCGCAGCATGTAGTAAAGTTGTGAATTACAAAAATTCTCTTCTTGAAAGAGAAGTTTCTGAAATTTCGATTTGATGAGAGCAGGAACCGATAAAAATTCATATTCAAATGTGTTCTTGTCCTAGAAAACTAGAAGATCTTAGTCCTAGTTCTCTGAAATGCGGAGCCCTAGCAAACTACAAGATCAAGAACTACAGAGCACTCACAACGTTTATGTCGAACTCCTCAGATCTACAATCAGTTGAGAGCATGAGATGAAACTGAAAGGCAAATGGCCTACCCGACGACGACCACTTAGTGAGTTTTAGGAAGCTGTGAAGACCGACTATTAAAGGTTGTACAGGGGTCTTGAACTTGAAGTTGGAAGTATGATAACGATTTTTCACGACCACGAACACAAACAGCATAAGATGACTGTGCGTACTAGAAGTCCTATGAATCTGATTTAATGATTTTGACTATGATCTAAAATTAGAAGAAAACAAATCAAGATTGTTCTTTGCGTTGTTATTGCCAAATCCAAGTGCTTAATGTTGTGTGAGATAGTATCTTCACACACAAGAAGACAGATGAAGAATGGCACCTCCAGTATCGGCACACGACGACCTAGGCGCTCAAAATTCCTCTAGGAACTACGTCGGACTAGGCGCTCTTACACCAGCAGGAGGAAACATCGAGGGGGCAACGACACCCGCATTCGGAGACATTTCAGGCATTGCCAACACCTCAAGCTTACCTCCTGCCACACCCCACTTTTCTCAAGAAAAGAGCCATCTCGTGGTGAAACAAGAACTACATCAACATCCTACTCCAACTTCTGCTCCTGGAAATTTACGTGGTCTTTCTCCGGCTTATCCTGCACAACTACGCGCAAGACTAGAAAAAGGAGCTTCACATCAGAAGCCAACAGCTTCACAGCAGAAGCCTTCACAAGGAGGTTTTCTTGGCTTGGCAGCTGAATTACAATTCGAAAGCGGTGGTGGAAGTGGATCACTTAACATTGCGCGAGGACCAGCAGCCTGTTTTGGTGCTGCGCAACAAAATCAGCTTCATCAGCAGGCTTCTTCTTCCTCTTCATCGAGCAACAAGATGCTGAACCCTAACACAACGAATCGAAGGGTTTTCCCGCCACCACCGGGCTTAGCTTTACCACAAGCGTCTTCGTCTTCCTCCTCTAGCAGTAGCACTAATGCTAATCACCAGAATCCAAATCCTAACGGAAAAGCCTCCTGCGCAAGAACTTCATCAGGGGTTACTGTTCCTCGTGTGAAATCCTTACCGTTGAAGGCTCTACGGCCAGGCACTAAACTGTCAGGTCGTGAGGAGGAAGAACAGAGACGAAGACAAAGCATTGCAGATGGAAAACGAAGATCAGTCGAAGGTAATGCTGGAGCACAACAACAACATCAACTACTAGAAGGAGAAAGAAGAAGTTTAACTTCTGGAGGACATCAAGGACAAGGAGAAGAACGTCTTCCTCCTCCTTCTGACAAAAACAACAATAACAGCAAAGTTGTAGCAAGACAATCCCGTCTGAGCGATGAGAATCCTTATGCAGAAGATGACATTGACGTCGAAGAAGAAGCTCCTCTACAAGTGCCAGTCGAAGACTCTTTTCAGTTACCACCTGCCAATCTAATGCAGCCAACTTCTACTGCTGGTTCTGGTGTTTCTCAACTTTTTGGCAACTCTGGATTGGGAGGCCTTGGGAATGGAGATCCACATGGTGTAGGTCTACTTGGGCAGAACAATAACGACCCTTACAATTCATCTACGTATCAGACGCAAATTCTTGTCCCAGATAATCTGATGGACACGCAACTGCAACTGTCAGGAGCTGGTCCGCCGGGAGACTTCGATCCATACGCGACACAGGCGTATGTCGACGACAATTTTTCGCAGTTGTATGGAGCAGCGAGTCAAGCAGCGGCAGGAGAACAACAAGGAGTCGGAGTAGGTGGAGTAGGAGCAGTGTTTGATCCTTTTGCATCAAATAATCCTTCTGGTTCTGGTCTAGACGCTGACGCCAATATAGAAGAAGGTGGACAAGTGCCAGGAGCTTCTTCATCATCTTCTGGACCTGCACCAGTTGGCGGTGGCCTTGATCTCGACGATCATGCTCCTCTCACAGCCGCACAAGAAAGGAGTCTCGGGTATATACTAGACCCCCCGGCAGAGGTGGCAGCCGAGCTCTGGGATCCCAACGAATTTCAGACGCAGGCTTTAGATTACGACCTTCTCTACGCTAACAGTACGCAAGCGATGGAAATACCTTATGATCAGGTCGTAGGAGCAGGAGGCGCAGGTGGAGCTGGAGGTGATCATAATAGTAGTAATGGAGCTGTGCAAAGTGGAGGTAAAAATGGTACAACTACAACTGCTGGGCTAGGGCTTGTGATCCAAGAGCAAGTCGAAAAAGTAGATTTGGAGACCTTGTCCCTTGAGGAATTAGGACCTTGGAGTCGGAAAATCAAGGATCGATTCGGTCGAGTGTACTCCTTAGAACAAGGATCGGCGCCACGACGTCAACCAGCGTTTTTAGCCAGGTACAATTGGAAAGGCAGTGAAGCTGAGTTGGCAGAATTACTTGGAGAGGACCAAGATCACGAAGTAGATGGATTCGACAGTGTAGCGGTTGCTCGAGCAAGAGCAGAGAGGGCTGCAACAGAAAATCCGAGTAGTGCTGCTGCTTCTTCATCTTCTACTACTACAAGAGGTGCTGGTCTAACGACGTTTTTACCACATGGAAATCGTGGTGCGATGGCATTGTTATCCGAGATAACAGAAGCAGCAACACCAATTCCTCCATTTCAGGATCGGCCAATACCGACGCAAGAACAAATGACCCGCAGTACGTTTTTTCAGAGGCATTGGCACACCAAGATCAAGGATATGGTGAAAAGAGCAGATGTCATAGAGGAACCGGCTGTAACTTTCGCTGTATCTGCCTCCAAAGGCAGTAGTTCAAGTTCATCTTCTTCTGGAAAGGAGCTGGACAAGGACATTTTAGCATCCCCTGATGAAGTAGAGAAAGGAGATGCAGCGAAGAAGAAACAGAAAGAGTCAAAGTCAAAAGCAAAACAGGCTGGATCAACAATGAAATCAGAGATACTATCTTCATCAGTAGCCCTCTCCGACAAAATTCGCCTTTCCCATGCTCATCTCTACATGCCTCAGTTCTTACTGACCCAAGCTGTTTCACAGGAGCTTACCCAGGACGAAAAGACAGCAGTACTGAATTTGGGAGCGACATTCCATACAGAATGGTGTCCTCAGATCACGCATTTGGTGTTGAAGGATCGATATGCGGCTATCACGGATGTGCGACCGAATGAGGATCCATCTTTTTTAGCATGTTGTTTCCAAGCAAACAACTTGCCGGGAATCGTTACGCTGGTATATCTGCGAGATGCGATAGAGAGGGGAAGCTGGTATACAATTTTTTTAGTTTATTTCTTGTGGATTGATAATGATATTGTACTTGTAGTAGAAGGAGTAAGAACTTGTAAATCAGAGTAACTGATTGCACTGGCTGTAAAATTAAGGACAGCAACATGAAAAAATGAAAATACATGTTCTGGCTCTTCAACGCTCCTTCTAATGCCTCCTTCACCACCCCACGACCACAGGCCTCCATGCGACAATCTTCTTTACCCTTTACCGGGACTAGCCCGTGCAGCATTGCACGACGCTCGAGCAGATCCGAAGTTCTTTGAACAGTATGCCTGCGTTTACTACTTTCCTAGTGCGGAGAATAGTTCGAAGCGCAGTTACAAGATGCTCATTGAGGCAGCGGGCTCGAAATTTCGTGCGAACAGACCAAAGATCGAATTCGCGATGGACAGCTACTTCAATCCGAAAAGTAGGTTAGCGATGGCGAACGATGAAGATAACTATGAGCAAGATCAGGATCTTGTCGCTCTTGGAGGTGGGCAGCTTCCTCTTGGCGGGGTAGTTGTACCTGATGATCCTATAGCTTCTACTTATCACCAGACGAAGATGAGAAATCACTTCGACTACCAACGAACGCAGATTGCAGACCCCTTTTCACAGCAAATAGGCTCTGCGGTTGGAAGTCTTCACGCCGGACCACAGCACCTGCCAGCACTAGAGGATCAAGAGGATGACTTACTCGCTGACGGTGGTGCTGACGGTCTTCAGGGCACGGGCAGAGGAGGCAATAATATGCGAGGCGGTCGTAATGGTAAAGCAGCTCCTAAAGAAGCCGGAGGAAGTAAGCAAAAAGAGGAGCCACCTTCAAAAAAGCAGAAAGTGGAGAAAGGGAAGGCGAGCAAAGCCAAGTTCGTTCCTCTTCAGGTTTCTTCAGGGACATCAACAAATAAAGATGCTCAACATGGTTTCACACTTGGAGATGAAGCGAAGGACAAAGAGCTAAAAGCGCAGACGAAAACATCATTTGCGCCTCTAGGAGCCAGCCTCAATCCCCATCAAGTGTTGTGGATTGGCAAGTCGGAAGACTACAAGTTTTTTGAGGAGCAGTACAAAAAACAGTTCAAAAAGCCTATTGATCCTAGTAGTTACGCAGACATTGTACCTCCGATCTGCGATGCCCAGATCCTATGCGAAGCAGCCTTTCGCTCAAATGGCAGCTTGCAGCAGCTCATCGCACGATACAGATGCCCGTTCCTGGCGGGGACGGCGAGGGCCTAGGATTTGTTTTAGGTCTATTGCGGGACATCGGGACATGATGGAGGCATTTTCTAGGAAGCCAACAGCAAGGGAAGACTTGAATTTGGAGCACATAGTCTCTGTTCGAAGTACACTCGTGAAGACCGGACGCTCTTTTGAGCACTCTGCTTACAATTTTAATCTTCTCAATTTGAGCACTCTTGTTCCGTTGAAACACATATTATAATTAAGTACTCTTTCTTCAGGTTCAGACATTTAGCAGAACTAGAATCAGAAGCTGCTGAGCGAAGAAGCTGAGTGGTCCTAGTGTCTGGGAGATCTTCTTTTGAAGATGTAGAAGCTTCTTTTGAGTTTATACACAGCTGGCTGTTCTTCTCTTAATGCTTTTGTTTCATCATCCGCTTCTGTGGCCCCTATAGTACGGCGCGGCTCCAGACATTCCGAAAGTATGACTTTCTTGAGCGGCTGCACATGGGCCAGAAGCTAAAGGAGAAGGCACTGCTAAAAAATAGAAATTATGAGTGCTGAGAGACAACGATCAAGCTGCAAGGTCAAGTACTAGCACCATCTCTTCTCCTCACCTTGTAGAGTCCTTGCTAAACCGAGACACGGACACCCTGCAAACTGTAAACTGCGACTGCGATTGCGAACCAAGCGTATTATAAAACTTCAAGAGTCCTCTGTAGTTGCTTGTGGTTGTGCAGGGCGAGACTTGTGAGATGCTTGCTTGTGATTTTGTTGTAAAATTCTAAACTAAATTGCGACGTGTGTGTCTGTGTCTGTGAATCTGACCTAAGTGACATTTCCAGGAGAGAGAGCGACACTATTGGAGATGCGCCTTGCGTAGTCATCCTCGAAACTCTTCCCATCCTAGCCTATCTTTTGCTATTTTCATCTTTTACCTGCATCCAAAACTTCTAGCCCTGCCTCCATTTCCACGATGTTGAGGAAGCCTGCAAATAGAGACTGAGCTGCGCCATCATCTTGTAAAGTATGTATAGGGGATGAAAAGTGGAAAAGTCTAGATGTGAGAAAACATGTCGATTGAGAGATTGAAAAGATCGAAGTCGAAGATTGTAAGTCTTTCTTTCCTACGGACGTCAATTTCACCGTTATGCATCTGCGACAGAGAATTGCTTATAATGCATAGAGAACGAAGAAAAGATGCTCCATCTTGTCGGCACAGGCCACGGACGGCGGTACTGCATGGCTCGTCTTTGACGCGAGTACCCGCGTAGTCGTAGAGTAAGGGCGTAGTCCTAGACTAATCGCGTGCTCGTAGTCGTAGGGGTGACTCCTTCAACGGAAACTACAAGCACGATTACGCTCTGCTGACGGCACGTTTACGTCGCTTTCAAGGCGTTTGTGCATAGCGCTTACGTCACGCATGCAGGTGCAGCGCGCTGGCGCTCCTCAATACGTCGCGCTTACGTCCGTCTTTCGGCGCGACTGCGTCGCGCTTAGGTGGTGAGTCTCAAGGGGCGCTCACGTCACGCATGCAGCACGTTTGCGTCCGTCTCATCACACACAGACGCCACGCTTGAAACGCCTTAGCGTCGCGGTTTCGTCGCACCTGTCTGATAACAGACTGCGTACTAACGTCTCTAGAGGACCAGACCAGGAGGATGGCCGCATGATCCGTTTCCAAGCTTCTTAGATTCTTATGGCCATTGTTATTGGGTGTATGGTATCTAGAAAGTTCAGGATTCCCAATTCCAACGTATAACTTGAACATGCCGGAGGAAGGCCAGAGCCTAAAACCTTGAGGACTTTGCTGTGGGTCCAAATTGTGACTATTCTTCAATAGCTCCGCATGATCCGTTTCCAAGCTTCTTAGATTCTTATCTGCTAAGAAACGTCGACTCTGACGACATTGCGTGAAATCCACAACCACAACCATCGACGTCGACATTGCAACACTTTGGGCTTAGGGAGAAAGGCGTGCGGGGACGTTGTAGTGTGAAGAGGTTGAGGGTCATGATCAACATTGCCGAGTGAACGTAAAGAAAGTGCCTTCGACGTCGCAACACAACCTGCATAGGATTAAGGCTACCTTCAGGGGGGCACGTCGAGGGGGTCGCTATTATGGATTCTTCAAGCGACCCCCCTTGTTCCATGACCCCACAGAAGTAAGCTCTAACAACATTACCGTGCCAGCATAAACGGCCTCGGACATTGCAACATAAATTGCAGAGGTGGAGAAAATGAGTGCCCCAGGCGGTGGAGCAACAGCCGACGGGGGGAAGGAGGACCCGGATGATGAGGAGCTGGAAGTCAAGGTTGATGGCGTCTCTTTTACCCTAGCAACAGTCGGGACAATCTCTATGAAGACAAGAAGAAGTGATGAATTTTGGACAGGAACAAGAACAGGAAGCAGTCTGATACTGATTATTTCTTTACTGAGAACAGTTTTATTTTTATACATACATATACTTGATAGTCTATCACTCGGTCCTCTAGCTCTTCTTTTTAGAAGGTACAAGTTGGCTGAACGGCCTCGCATCCATTTGGCCACATGGTTTTCTCTGGGCCTAGCTCCCTCTAATGAGCCGAACCCCCTGCAACGTGCCGAGGCGAAAATTTCCTTGAACCGCCAGAGGAAGAAGCTCCCGGTCCAGGAGACGTTACCGATAAAAGTTCTTGATGCCCACGGAAACAAAATTAGTACTATCTTTATTAGTATTGCCTTAGTACTATAGCAATAGCACTTTCCATTGATTATTACAAATCTGAGTTGTAGAGTTAGGGTAGCTCTGGGCCTAATGCTTTTAGACTGTAAAGTAGGAGCTAAGTTTTAGGGTCCCTTGTAACAGACACTTCGGTCCCGATCTGTTCGGCACTGAATATTAGTGGCAATCCTAGCCCAGATCGAGAATCTTGCTCGACTATCTTTCTCTTTAAATCTCACTCCTAGTGCTTCTTTCTCCTTTTATCGACGACAATAATCATACCTATAGGTGCTTCAGCGACAGACCTGCGAGATTCAACGATGACCGTGGACATAGAGAAGATCCAAAAGCGCTGCCTCGGTCTAACTCAGCCAAGTTTCATAAGCTACGAAAGAAAAGACGGGGTGAGTCTAATGGTGAAGAAAGTGAAAGACTTCGGTAAAAAAAAGTAAATGTAGTATAGAGTTATACTAAGACCTAGAAGAACTTCTTGGACTACGATCACAGTGTACGTGTAACTACTGAACCATCACACATAACATAGTGTGTTGTAGTGGTCTTTTATACTCCTGGGGTTGTCGGTGCATTCATTCATTCATAGAGAGGAAATGCATAGGCTTCTATGATGATCCTCTTCATCTGGATACTATGCATCTTAGCGTGTCACTACATTTTCATACTTCGCGAGTAAAGACGGAGTTTGAGTTGCGATTGCAGAGTAACAGTCCGTCCAAGGGAGGCAGTCCAGGAGCGCGGTCAGCAGCGGCAATAGGAGGTATGGTTGGAACTGGACGAATTCTCAAAAATGAGGCTCAGGCTGAAAACCATAGCCACAAGACTTTAAGGCTGCCACTGCTTACTGCATGAAAGGAGTACATAGGCGCGACGAAGTGGCAGTCTTCTTAAAGTATACTTTCAAGGCATAACGCCTTCTATTTTCATTTGCAACGCTGACGACGGGGACAGTACTTCAAGACCTGGAACTGCGCCAGTGAATTTTTTGAGAAAAAACCGCGACAACGTGACGCAGAGTCGCCTGTCGGAGCGGCAGAAGGTTTTCGATAAACTCCAAGAAGAAAGACGCATGAAAGAAGCAAGGGTACTGGGAGCATGTGATCTAGGATTGATGATAGAGGACGACGTATAGCCTTCATGATCTTCGTCTGTTTTCCCTACAAGTTGAGGCAAGTTGAAGTTGGGTTTGTAGAATATTTATAAAGCTTTCTAGAAGTGCTATCCCAGTATTGTTAAACGAGAAGGAGTTGATCGAGAAGGTGAAGGATCGCATCTATGGCCACACTTCTCAACATCATACAGATCGCTGGAAATCTCCTGTCGGCGAGACGAGAGAGAGCGCAGGCCGTGCTGGGGTCTGGCGTATCGTATTTGAACAAGGTAAAGCACCTTCAGGCAGAGGGAAAATTGCTAGCGCAAGGCGTCACTCCTTATGGTCAGATAGAATAGAATAGAGGGGGGGCGAAACGCGGTAGCCCGACTCGTGCAGGCGTGACCGTGTCACTACTCACTAGATTAAGTTTCTTTGAAAATTCTCAGTCCTGCTGTGAGTTGTACTAGGAGCTTTCATTTATCGGGTGGAATGCGATCAAGCGGCTCGGGTGGAAAAGGTGGCGTAGTGATTGGGCAAGAGGGCGATGCTCAGCGTGTAGCGGAACATTAAGGCCTCCCCGAATCCATCTCCCGAAGCATCTTTGGATGGCTGTTGCATACGGGGAAAAGAACGGCTGGCGCAAGATGAGTCTCGGGATGGATCGGGGGCAGCTCTAAGAGCAGCCTCTTACAGAAGCATGGCGGCAACAAAAATGGTACGCGTTCCTACTCGCGCAGTCTTTTATGGACAATTCATTGAGGTCAGAGCAGGAGATGACTGAATAGCAACAATTGACTGAGGCAGAGGTCGCAGCCGACCACTAGCACCACTTGACCCTTCTGATCATATAATTGTAGTACTCTGAGTTTCTCAAGCCGTACCCGTACAATACCCACAGCTGCTACGTGAAGTTCCCCTTTGTTTCGGTTTTGTCTATTAGTCAGGATAGACGTGATAGATGTTGAAAGTAAGACACCAATATCAATGGCATTTATGTCCCCACTTTGTGGAGGATGGAAATGAGCTGGGTCGCATCCTTCTTCATTGGTTTTGCGAGCATAACGCACCGTCTGCTGATCTACAATTAAGGCTACGGTTACAGATAGTGCGCTTTTGGGTGCATCTTGTTGAGTCAAAGCACTACTTGAAGGACCTCGCTCAAGATAGTGGATAAATCAGGATGAATGGGCTTCAACATTTCGCGTTCTTACAAGATGAAAAAGCAAGACTCGGCCCCGCTAGGTCTACTAGAATGGGCGGCGCTGCTCCCTTACATTCAGCCAGAAGCAGAACGAAGAAGATGAGGCATTTGGAACCACATTCATAAGTATCTCCTAGCACATACGAGATCCCTCATGAGAAGAATTTTCTGCTAAGGCATCCTCTAATCAAAGTCACCGGATGCGCGGCGGCGGTATAACGAAGGAAAGTGGATGTTTGTCGTAAGGATATGGCGCTTTACGAGAAAGCTCAAGTCTGCAGTATACGTCACACGCATGTTTCGATTCGTATTTCTATCGATTATGTTTGGGCTTGTAATCGCCTAGACCACGATCATGCTCGTGCTGTGGCTCTTTTGCTATGTCTTCTCCCTCTGCTCAAGCAAGTTGTCTTTGCTTCAACAGAAGATAGAATCATCTCAATGCCTTCGGTTTTAGTTTTTACTCTGGCTGCAACTACGTTCAACTTCAAAACACTCCTCATCCTCAACACCCAGCTCTTCCGAATATTGCGGGTGCGATACAAGCTGCTTGCACTTCCTAGACAGAAGAAGAAGGATGCGACGCGAGTATTGCGGTTTCTAGAAAGAACGACGCCAGCTGTGCCAATCATCAAGGGGGTGAGCAACTTCTTCGCAACGGTGAAGAAAATACAAACCACATGATACGGCTAAAAGTAATGACTTAGGAACCACTAGAAGGAGCAATAGTAGACCTAGACGCAAATAACGTAAGTAATAATAAGTGGTGCCAGCGTCGAAGTCGAACAGGGTGGGCAGAGTGGTAAGTGCTGTCTTCTAGAAGTTCTTGTCCGACATAGAGTGGTAGAACAGGAGCAGCCGCTGCCAATTATCTTGCAGTCTATGTATTGGAGAACTTTCTCTCTCTTGCTCTAATCTGAGCGAGCACACTGGGCGAAGTTGAAAAAGCACGTTGTGCGTGGCAGCGAGCAATTCGAGAAAGTTGAGATGGAAACTTTAAGGGAGCTCTTTTCCTACGTGCAAATAGAACGACCCGTAGTTTTTGCACCACAAGGAGCGACGCTACTCGGAAAAAAGGATCCGAAAATGAGTACTACTAGTCTTGATATTGGCGCCACTGGTAGCGATGTTTTGTTTCCCTCCAGGCAGGTGGAGGCACTACGACTACGTATACAGGTCTCAGATTTTTCTCTCACTCAGGTTATAAGCTGTAGCTGTAGATCTAGATCATCTAGATGGGACACAAAAAATTTCAATTTATCAGTTGTTGGAACCAAGTTGCTGAAGGAGCGAGAACTTTTTGTCGCAGAATACGCCATGCCAGTTGCTGTGCGGGATGCTTTTGTTTAAGGCCTTGAACTTGATCATAATCAACAAGCAAGTCTGATACTAAATACTTCTTAGCCTCCAAATCAAGGAAAATAGGGCAGGCACTGAGGAAGAAGTGCCATCGCACAAAGGAATAGCAGCGACCCCTCTAAGACACGACGGCCGAGCTGGCTGAGCGGGCTTTTTTACGGGCAAAGCGGAAGGAGAAGGAGCGCGCAGCACTAGCTAGCGGTCTGGGATTCGTTTATGAGCAATTTGATACAGAACTTCGTTGAATTTGAAATTGCGATAGGTGAAGATCATCAACTACGTCATCCTTCTAGCAACTTGCTCCTTCTTTGGAATTGCGATAGGTGAAGATCATCAACTACGTCATCTTTCTACCTCGCGCTCACCTAGATGGGTCTGAGTATGTACTAAACGCTACTTAAAGATGACTCCCAATGCCAAGAGCGTAACACGTTTTACAGCAGGACCTTCAAAAAATTAGACTTCGTCACTTCCTACCTCTTTTGTAAGCGCAGCCGTTCCCCCTTCATATGGGCAAGGAGTACACATCCTTCTGGAGGCCTACCTTCGATGTGCCCTTTCTGGAGTTATTGCGAGGGTATGTAGGCGTTGAGCACGGCGCGCCATTAGTTGAGCGCGAGGAAGCACCCCCAAAGGAACCAGAGGCGCCATCGCCTTCAAAAGCTATGGCGTTCTAGAATGTGAGTGATGTGATGGAGGGAACTCGTGCGAATCCATGCACTCAGCTATCGCCTAAGACTACTTTCCAGGTTAGAATGGTGAAACCCAATAGAAGAAGGAGAAGCTAGCTTATCATATATGATTAGGCACATCAAAAAAGTGAGGACCCGCGCGCGAAGCGCTATTCTTTGGTAGTTCGCTGGGCGAGAACCTCAAGTTCGCGGCTGGGATGTTTTTTAGCCTTGAGGCTATCCCACAGCGAGGGGTCGTTTTTTAGATGAAGTACTTCCTCAGCTTTCTTCTAAGGCCAACAAGAAAAACAAAGAGGCGCCAGCATCTTCTCCCAAGGCATCTAGGGGAGGCAGTTCTTCCAGCAGCAAGCCGGGTGTTATGGAACAGAGACCAGAGTGAAGATCAGACTGCTCAAAGTATTTAGCTTTACACTGAAATGAATGCGACACACCCACAAGTCCAGGGTGTTGAGTGTTTTTACAGGCAAGCGACTGCGCGTTCTCTACCATCCTTTAGAGAGGAAGCACTGCACTAGAGGAAGTCTAGCCTTGCTTTTGCATCGATTTCGTCGATGTCGATAAGATAACAAACTCAAAAACGCGCTGTCTAATCTCAGCGGTAAGGAGAAAAAGCAAAAGGGAGGAGCCGCTGCAGCAAACGCAGCAAGTGCGAAACAAGGAGAGAGCACTACAGAATGTTAGGGCTTTTTGAAGAGTCTTAATACTAATTTGCCTTGGACGGGTTGCACGCAGTCCGTGTCCGTGACAACAAAAATCGCATGTCTTTTTTTTCGTTGGTCATGACTGGCATCGGCTCAACAATGTAGGTGAAGGTGAACACTGTAATATTAAAGAATTTCAAAATACATTGAACAAGCAACCCACCAGTAAAGTTTCATTTTCAAAACTCCCCACCAGCAAGCCCTAAGAACAGCGAGAGGAAGACGGAGGCGGTGACACGAGAGAGCCACCGTGTTCATTTCGTTTTACGCGTGCGGAAATGGAAGCAATGGTGGTGGCATGCCATAAGGCAATGGGCCTCCTGCCGGATGTAAAAATTATGGACAGAAGCTAGTTCTAGTGTTAGAAATAGTTGCGGCCGTCGTAGCGCCAGTATGATGTAATGCTAACGCAGTGGCACAAGAGTATCATCTGGCAGAATAGAGTGTAGCTGTACGCGACGAGGGGTTTTGGAGGGGAAAAACACTCCACAAGCTGAAGAAGCTGCTGACATCAACGATGCGTTTGGCGCTGTAAATGAGGTGACGGCGAGACAGAGGCGCCATTATCTGATGAGGCAAGGGTAAGGGTAGTGAATACCTCTAACAATACGAAGCTCCGCGACGAAATCGATCACGATCCAAATGTTATGGCTTCTGAATCTCATGGAGGTAAAAAGTCCAAGAGTGCTTCCTTGTAGTACATTGTCCAGATACATAGTGGAACTAGAAGCCAGTGGCCCCCTCATAGGTGATAGTAGAACTAGAAGCCAGACGTGGTCCGCGGTTGGACAAGATCAAAGTGATGGGAGTACGAGTAAGGGCAACAAAGCATCATGATCAGAGTAGACGGAGATCAGTAAGTCTCGAGGGCAGGGGGAGGAAGGAGATTCTAACGCAGGCTTTCAGACGGAGAACAGCGTAGAGTTCCGCGATCGATATTTCAACATTCGAAAACAAGGAACAGGTAACTTCTCACCGACTGACAACGAACACTCATGCTTTTTAGGTTCTTCTTCTGCACGTAGAATGAGGCACTAGGTAGATGCTGATGTATACCTCGAGGTGTCTTGAGTACTTGATCGATGCTGATGAAGATGATACATGCATACAGCTGACTACTTACACCTCAAACGCGTTGCGTCTCAGATTGTCGCAGTTGCCGGGAGCGATTAAGGCGGCGGGAGCAGTATTGGCTGTCAAGAGGAAAAAACGGGATCGGAGGTGAAGAGGAGGGGTCTGAGAAAGTTTCGCAAGACGTCGTGACCACGGATTTTATTAAGGCTTCGTCGCACTATGGTTTCTCCAGGGTATGATAATTATTACGCGGCGGAGCTATTGACGCAAAACTTAATCGAAAAAGTACTTACTTACACAAATGAGGGGAATCAACATAATTGCCAGTCCGTATTAAATGAATTCCCTCACCATATAGCGGAAGAAGAAGCGCTGCTTGTGTATCGTGATCCTTTGTAGTCCTACGAAGGACATGGGCGGTCGGATCGATGCTCGCAATCTTGTTTTCTAGTACCCAGAGGCACTTCTCTTAGTCACAGAGACCACAGACTAGCTTAGCCCTAGGCCCGTAGGCTCTAACTTTCTCGACGGTGCTGGAGACGCAAGCGACGAACCTAGTGAAGACGCAGCGCGATCGATGCTGCCGGTCTTGTAGTCAGCAGTTGGCTTGGAGAATGGGAGTTACTTAGGAGGAATTGGCTCGGCCGTTGGGTCAGAAGAATCACAAAAAGCTGGTGCGAGGGGTAATTTTGTGCTGGCAAGAGCACGCATGTTGGAATTTATCGCCGCGGCTAGCACAACAAGTGTCTCATAGCGCACTTATCTAAGAAGTATTTGGTTGTTTCAGTTTCCTGTTAGTACCCTGTTGTACAATTTTGTCCCTCTCTTCAAGAACATGATCAATCTTGTTGTATACGTTGTATTCTGGCGGTTTGTTTTTTCGGCTGGTAGACAGAGGTAGACTTTGGAAGTAGAATATCTAAACCAAGTTAAAAGTTAGCGAGTGTCACTGTCTGAGAGACATTTAGGAGAACTAGAAGAAGCATTTTGCAGTACTACGTATGGAATTGGACGAACTGATCGAAACCCAATGAAGGCATGATGGACCCAGGATCCCAAACTCCCCTCAAGAACTTGAACTACTCCATTCCAAATATTTCCTCCTAACGGGTTTGAATCAGCGACCCTTGCATACTTGCACTGGAAGAGAAATCCTCAGGCAGCTGGCACAAGCACTGTTCGACAGTAGCAGGACCTACTTCACGTTCACGTCATGCTTACAGGTTGTAGAACAAATGAGACGCGCACGAGTGTAGAGATACAGGCACGACCAAGAAGAAGCAGCGCGAAGTTTTCAGACTCGAGAGAAAAGAAACACAAGTGCAAGAGCACGCCACTGCAACATCACGAAGAAGTCGCACACCATATAATTTCTATATAATTCATAGAAGAAGGATGCTGAAGAATAATTCATAGAAGAAGGATGCTGAAGAATTGAAAGAGATCAACTAGCAAGTCCTAATCCTATACTCTTCACCCAACAAACATTAGCCTTCACGACCTACTCCTATCCTAGTCCTCCTACTCCTACAAACTGTTCGCTTGTTTAGACCACCCACATTGCCATCATTATACTACCCTTTTACCTTTTTATCTTATCTACATCTAGCTACATTATTATTATTTAAGCCAAAAACCATGGAGGAGCAAGAGTTTCTACAAGGGTCTGCTGTTTGGGTCTCGGACGCGCAATCCGTGTGGGTGCCCGCAGTCGTCCAGAAACCTGGAGACCCTTTTTTGCAGGTAAGTATTAAGACTCACTTGCGAATGACTCAGTTTGAGAGAGTGTTGTTAGTGGGAAACGAATGATTGAGTTCGAGAGAGTGTTGGTCACTAAGTACCACTTCATGATGATCCAAGAAGATTCTTTCAGATTTTAAATCTGAAACAGGTTCAATTACTCCCGGTCCTCTCAAGTCCATGTACTGCAACATCGTCCACGCCGGCGCAAGGAGTGCCACCTTCGGGTGTGCGTGTTATCGACTTGCGGAAGGAGAGTGTCTATCTACGTAGCGATGAGGCTGAGGAGCATGCCTTTGCCGCGTCCTCCTCTGCAGCAGGTGGTGCAGCGAGAACGCCAGTTAAGGTGAAAAATCTTGGGTTGCTTTAATACTTATTCTGATTATCATCTTTAATGTTGTAGAGATGGATGCAGGTGGCATATGCAGCATAGTCCACGAGCCTGGTACTATGACTGTCCATGATGCGTGGCAATTATGACAATGGCTGGTGAGCGTGAGCACCATAAGACCGGAAGATGATGAGAAGCCGCGACATCTATCTCTAATGCTCGCAGTGCAGGATCAACAGGAGCAGCGGGTCTCTCACCGCACTTGATCACAGGTGGATTGAATCAAAGAACGCCAGGTCGAAAAGACGGCAAGAGACAACGTAGCAATTCTTCGAGACGTTCGTCTGCGACTCAGATGCTAACGCCATCTGGTGGGCCAAAGGGAAATACTTCAGGTGTAACAAGAGCTATGGTGAGTGGTGCGGGTGCATCCTTAAGCTCGAGTAAGCCTTTGTCTTTGTCAGGAAGTAAGGGGAGTGCAGGGAAAACTGCAGGAGCGCCGGGTTTTTTATGATCCCTGTCCTTTTACTATTTGTAACCAAAACTACAAATAACAATTTTCATACTACTACTAGTGCTAGTCTCCTTGTTTTAGTACTTAGTAGAGGCGGGCAAGAGGGACGACACACAGAAGAATTTTTAGAAGCAGATAGTATTAGACCTAGAATCCAAAACAGCTCCTCCACAACCTTCATCTCCCGGACCTGGCTCGGGTAAGAAACGGCTGAGTTGTGGCAGTGGGTCTACGCCGGGACGTCCCATCACTCCATCACCCCAACGGAAGCGAGGGCCCGGCCTCGTCAAAATTCGAGGAAGCCAGAAGAAAATACGTAACATCAAAATTGGAGGAGGAACATCAAGTAGCGCTGGTGCTGGTGGTAGTGCAACATCTACTTCAGGTTCATCGACAACCACGACGACGACACATAATACGGGCGCAAATGCCAACTTCTGTGCTTCTACAACTTGTACTGCCACAGGATCAGCAACTACGGGGGGAAACCGCCGTAGTTCCGCCAAGATTTCTACAGCCGCACGCATGAGCGGCTTCGGAGGAAGCCCTGGCGACAATAGGAGGCTAAGCACGACATCAACAACCGGTTGTGGTACTGCCTCTTCAAAATCTACTACATGGACAACTGCCTCCACCAAAGCTGCAGCTGCAGGAGCAGGTGCCTCAACTAATGCAATTCAAGTTTCAGTAACTGCTGTGATGCCTGACGACCCGTTATCGATGTTGGTAGATGACGGAGTTGACGGCCAGCATGATCATGATGAACAAGATATTACATCCTCTTCCCCACCCAACGCTGGCACCGCAATGATCATCAGCAGTCCGCCTGGGCAGGCGAATTATGCCAAGCGATGGAGAACACCTCAACCCGATGACGATCTATGTCGTCTCATTTGCTTGCATGAGCCTGCGATTCTACATTCACTGCAGCAACGCTTCAGCAGGGATGTGATCTATACCGCAACGGGACCGATTCTCATAGCAGTGAATCCTTTCAAGGTAATTTCTCGTGACAAGTTTGTTGGAGATATTGGAACTCGTCTTTTTATCGCCAATGATGAACTAGAGAAAGAGAAGTAAGATTAAAGGTTGAACACTTTGGTAGGGGTTTAGGGTGTTTTTTTTAGTAGCATTCTCAAATGGAGAAGGCTTGTAAAACTAAAAATGAATATGAAATGCTTCGACCCTTAATAAATAAGAAGTAGATGGAAACATGCTGCTCGCTTTTCTTGCACAAGTTAACCACCTCCAGCCCTCGAGCATGACGTCAAACTTCAGCGTTCTTTTGATATTGATCCTTCATCCCGATTACACACCCTCAGACTCTTCCTGGCCTTTACGATTTTGCTAATTGGACGGGGAAACGACCCCACGTTTACACGACAGCCGAAGCTGCCTACAGGCAACTAAGAGATCGGAAGAAATCTCAAACAATCTTAATTAGCGGAGAAAGTGGCTCAGGCAAGACGGAATCGACGAAATTTGTGATTATGGAAAGGTTGAGTTGTTTTTCTTTGACGATATTTGTTCAGCCTTGTTGTTACTGGAGTCAGTTGGTGGCCACAATTTTCTCTTACATTCTCACTCTCAGCGAGAGAATGAGAAGATGGGTACTTAAATAAAGCGAAGCTTCCCCCCGAGCTTCATCATCATGATGGGGTAAGAATGAGCCCCACGGACATTCCTCTAAGGCCCTGTCTTTCCTCGCAGCCAGAGGCGGATCTTCTTCTTCTTCTTCATCGAGCACGAAAATTGCTGCGGAGAACAGCGTAGAAAACGCGGTGCTAGAAAGCAACCCTTTGCTTGAGGCGTTTGGCAACGCGAAAACCTTGAGAAACCACAACAGCAGCCGTTTTGGAAAATTCATAGAACTGCAGTTTGGAGAACAAGCAGCATATGGAGGGAATGCGAAAGATGAATTGCAACCTAGTAGTAAAGGAGCAGGAAAACCCGGATCACCACCTAGTAGTGCCCTTGTTGGCGCACGCATTCAGACCTACTTGTTAGAGAAGATCCGTGCTACAGCACAGCAGGAAGGCGAGCGAAACTTCCACATCTTTTATCAGCTGGCTGCGGCCGCAGCTGCAGAGGCGGAAGAAAACAATGCAGTTGAAGTTCGAAGAGAGAAAGTCAGCGATGTTGTCTCGTCAGAGAGCCCAGACGATGTTGCTTTGCCGTCAGAGCAAAAGGATGATGCAGAGCAGAATGAATGTGCTCCCGTATCAACGGGAGAAGCGGACAGCCAGGAAGACAAAGCTCAAGACGGCATTGCAGAACAAGATTCTCGTCAACAAGAAGACATGGAAAATCAAAAGAGTACTAGTGATACTGAAACTACTGGAGCAGAAGATGCAGCAGGTTCTAGTACCACGGCTCCATCTGAAGTTGAAGAACCTAAACAACCTCGAGCTTCATCCCCATCCGCTCCATCAGCAAAAGCAGCATCAACGCCGTCACCAAAAGCATCAACATCCTCATCCTCCAACCTAATGACGTACAAAACTTATGACTTCCGGATACTATATACATCTCCAGAAGCATCTTGGCCCTCCGTGTAAGGGGAAAACGGGTCCAAGATGACGCTCAAGATGGATTCCCGGAAGGTCTAAAAAACTTCAAGTTCCACCTGGCTCGACCCCCCGACCCCTTCTAGTAGTTCGCGTGGTCCTAGGTGGAGTAAGTTTCGGAACAGTAGTCCTGGTTGGCGTGGTGAAGATCTCGAGGATTTCCGGCACACGTTAGGAGCGATGCAGGCTGTGGGGATTGCTAGGGAGCACACCAAGATTAAGGGTCACCGCATTGCATCCTTCACTACCATTCTTGACTTATTTTCCAATAGGAAAGAAGTCAAGGATGATCTGAAGAATGTAATTGCGCAACCCCTGCTAACAAGAAGATCTTCGACGCGATCGCAGCAGTCTTACATCTTCGCAGTGTGGAGTTTGACTCATGCTGCTTTTTGAAGACAAGCAGTGCTGGTGGGAATAGTACAGCAGACGCTGATGAGCAAGAAGGAGCGCTAGATGAAGGTGGCACCTCCGCAGGAGCATCGAGGAACTCGAAGTTTCTCATAAGAGGCGGATCATCTCCATCGAAACTACTGATGGGCGGCGATCAAAACTATGAGGAGGATGAACAAGATTTAACGACACACTTAGGTCCGCCACCGAATAGACTCGCTGGCGGTGGCGCTGCTTCTAGTTTACACAGCATCAACAAAAAACTGCCTACTTCAGCTTCTCACCCAGCTGCGATGAATGCCGGGATCATGGGAACTACAGGCAAAGGAGCAGGGGTAGCAGCCTCTTTGGCTAATGGCAACGCATCGTCCACCGCATCTTCGTCCAGCAGAGTTGACTTAGTAACATGCAAGAATCCTGAGCAGTTGCAACTTGTGGAAACGCTACTCGGCGTGCAGGACCTGGCAAATGCGTTGTGCCACAAGGTGATCGGGTGTCGCGGTGAGCAAGTCAAATCGCACTTGCGACTGGAACAAGTCCTAGACAACCGGGATTCTTTAGCACGCCACTTGTACGGCTTGGTGTTCAACGACATTGTCGCACAGGCTAATGCATGCATCTCATGCAAAAGCTCATCTTCTAGTCCAAACACCGAACGAAGTGCAAGTGGAGGTGAAGACGGACGACCAGAGTGTAGCTTGAAAACGGACGACCAACAGCAACAACTACCAGCACCTTTACAAGGATCTCTTTTCATTGGCGTTCTGGACATTTTTGGGTTTGAGTGCTTTCTCCACAACAGCTACGAACAGCTGTGCATCAACTACGCAAATGAACGACTGCAGCAGTTCTTCAACCATTTCGTCTTCTTGCTGGAGGAATCTCTCTTAGGAGAATACGAAGTCAATTGAAATAGGCAAGTAACTGATCAGAATAGCCGAGATACTGACGAGAAGGAGGAGTACCCTTGTCGATGTTAAGCTACCTCCCTCATTTCAGTCAGTAACTCGGTTATGTTGAGTTTTCGGTCGTTTGTTGTGTGCTTTGTGATTGGATAATTGGCAATCATGTTGGTCTCCAAAGATCATGACCAAGATGCAGGAGGGCTAGAACAACAAGTTATTGGGTACTGAATTAGCACTAGTTCATTCTCCTACCATCGCGAGCAAGTCCCGTGGGACCCAGTGGATTTCCCGGACAACCGATTGAGTCTAGAACTCCTGCAAGAGAAAGTGACAGGCGTTTTCCACGTTCTAGACGAGGAATGCATGGTTGTCCGTGGAAGTGATCAGGGCTTGGTGAATAAGCTCACGAAAGTTAAGGCCTACTCTAGTGCATAAGGACTTCTACTTACCCTAGTAGTGCAAAGGCCTACTCTAGTGCATCTTTTGAGTGAATGGCTCTGGTATTTGGTAACCTGAATTCGATTCTAAGGGAAAACAAGAAGAGAACCCTTAGGATCAAACTCAGGTTACCAAATACCAGAGCCATACAGTGAAGCATGTTGGAACTGTGGCCCCATAAGGGGAAAACAAATTCAGGGTCGTGAGTTTCGAGATGTATTCGGGTGAGTTGGACTTCTAAGCAAATCCACAGCGATCATCCTAGGTTTCAAGTGGTGAAGCTAGACCGCTCAGCCTTTGTGGTGAAGCATTTCGCAGGTGACGTGCGCTATTCGAGTCACCGGTTCCTGGACAAAAACAAAGACCAGCTGAGCGTGGACCTTATACAGTGTACTAAAGCTTCAGAGAAGTCGTGTGTTGATACTTTGGTTTGACACTCATGAGCATGATCTTCCTGTTCCTCTATGACACGCTAATAGGCAAAAGATGAATCTTCGTAGTGTGATACTTTGGTTTGACACTCATGAGCAAGAGCATATCTTCCTCTATGACACGTTCATAGGCAAGAAAAGGCATGCCTGTCTAAGAAAAGAGGAGAAGCACAACGACAACCTCCTTACCCTTTCATCTCCACCAGGTATCAAATCCAGCCATTGTAGTTACATTTCCAGCCTGTTTCATGGAGACGCACGTTACGAAGCGCCGATTCCCGGAAGGAAACGGAAAATCAAGACGATTTCAGCAGAATTCAGAGGTCAACTTCAGCACTTGTTGGAGAAAATCGATTTGACAGATCCGCACTTCGTCCGATGTATAAAGAGTAACGCAGAAAATGTCTCGACAACGTTTCATCGGCGTTTGGTGACCGAGCAGTTGCGGTATAGTTTATGGCAGCTTGGTGATATAGGTAGCTTCGCTGTACCACCTATATAATTTCGAGTTCGTCAAAAAATAGAACTAGGAACCGTAGCATGCATGCAAGTGAAAGGCGTGTTTAAGTTTGTGGTAGAAGTACCATGCCGGATGAAACATGACCAAACCAGAGATCCGTAAAAGTACACAATCACAGTACCCTTCCCCTGAAGTCACAGACCACCTTCTCAACACAAGCATCTTTCATGCTCCGGCGTGATCCAAGTTGTGCAGATCAGTCGGTCGGGATATCCTGTTCGCATTCCTCATCGCGAGTTGTGGATCGATTATCGATGTGTTGTACCTCACGCTGGGATCATCGAAAGGCTTGGTGGAGTACGGGTTTCACTTGGACTACCTGGTGCTTCGTCGATGAATCGCGATCGCGATCGTGTTCCACTGAAGAAACGGATAACGACTCTGATGGATTTGGCATGTGAGAAGTGGCAGATCTCAACCTCAACATGCAGTACCACAGCAACAGGAGTCAGTACTAGCATAGAAGCCGGCGCGAGCAAGAACGCTGCTCAATTTCAAGTTGGCAAGACTTTAGTCTTTTTCAAGAAAGCTGCGTTTGCCAAGTTGTATCGCGCAAGGGCCGAAACGCGGCAAACGAGTGCTGCTAGCATCCAAAACTTCCTGCGCATGGCAGTGCAGCGGATAGCCTATTTGCGAGTGAGATTCTTGATGACGAAACTTCAAGCAAGAGTTAGAGGATCGCAGCAAAGGAGAAGGTTTCGAATAGCGTTGAAGGAATATCGAGCGGCAGCAAAAATTCAAGCTTTTGTTCGGATGAGCATTGTGCGGGGAGCGTACTTCTACTTCGTTCCTCTTTCACTTTTTTCTGCTTTGAGTTTGAGTTACACATCATGCTGACTCCTTTTATCTCTTCAAGCACCTTTTTAACCTCCTTATTCTAATTTGTGATCTTCAGATGAAACCTCATACACAGGTACATCCACCTCATCAAGTCGTCAGCGCCGCTGATTCAGCGTTGTGTACGTGGCCTTTTAGGAAGGCAAAGAGTCAAGAGGATCAAAGCCAGACAAGAAGAATTAGAGAAGCAACGAGAGCGACAGTTTAGGAAACCCATCCTACCAAACGGAGGAGACGCATCGTCAGGTGGAAGACACCCTGCCGTGGGAAGGGAGCAGCAGTTGGTAGTCCGTGCACCGCCGCCATTCCGGTTCCGAGCAACAGCGCCGGCGCTGTATTTTTGTTTTAGTTTATAAGTTTTTGAACACCAGTGATTAAGTAATTTGGCTAACGTTCTGGTTCTTAACGTGTTCTATCAGCGTTCTTGGTTTTCCTTAATGAGATGATTATCGCCTCGTGCCATGTATATGTAAGAAATTAATATATCTAAGAATATTGTTTTTGCAGCTCATCAAGCGCGGTCGCCCCTATGATACGTGCTGGGGAAAAGGCAGTTGCAACGATGAGAAGCAGCGTCGAGACTATGCTACGAACAGAGTCGCCCTTTGTTCAACCTCTGAACAACAACCCTCGCGCAACTATTCTTAAGGGTAGGCTAAAGGTGCTTTTCTTACCGCTTTTTATGCCTCTCCTAAGGGAGAAAGGCATAAAAAGCGGGGTAAGCAAGCACCAAAAACCTACCTCTAATATTCAATCAACATCGGAGTATCAGATGACCCAAAATCAAAGAGGACCACAAGAAGTAGGTGCACCAGCAACAGCAACTTCTACAGTAGTGACACTTGCCGATCAAGAAGATGAGGCATATCTACGATCAGCAGCTCCGTACCATCCTAAGCCTAACTACGACAAACTACACCAAGAACACCAGGCCCAGGAGTCCCAGTCCTCTAGTAGAAGTAGTTTTGCCTTCAGCAACTCTTGCTCAGAACAGCACCAGCAAAGAAAAAGCTACTACAGCCAACCTCTTGGCGGAGGTTGTCCTTCGACTGCGACTCCTACCACGACGTCTGGCAACAACCTGAACAATTCTATGAGCTCAGCAGGAAATGGGGGAGGCAGTAGCAGCACCCGATCTCAAACGAGAGTCGTCATCGGAACTATGTCGTCCGGAAGAGCTGCGGCACGTGCTTCAGCACCTGCTGCGTCAACAAATAACGCTGGCAGCGGACTGTTGTATCCAGGAGGCGGCCCTTCTTCCAACATGCATCAACAAGAACAGGCTAGAGCGTCTACTGGCTCAGGAGGTACTAGTCAAGGCGGTCTGAAGAACAACAACTATAGCAGAGCAGGGAGCGGCATGGGACCAGGCGGAGGGATCACAAGAACTACTGCATACACACCACGTGGGAACATCGTAGTTCCACCACAAAATATGACGAGAAGTGCGATCGCATTCACAGCAACGTCAACTGCCTTGAAAACATCAACGCCGCGGGATCTTCAAGGGGGGATCGTTTTACCACGACCTACACCAACTGCTGGTACACCAGGAGTCTGCTCAACATCTGCTCAACAACTACAAGCTTCTGCTAAAAACAATAACAACAGAATGAGTCCCCGTGACCGTGCTTTTATACCGGGTTTACGCGTCAGTTTGAATAGTCCGCCAGTACCTCCACCAGGAAGCATGACGTGGCAACAAGGGCCTTTGCAAAGTGCGAGTATGGTCGCTCGACCGCCAGGAACGAGACCCATGCAGCATCAGGGGTACAAGTGAAGACTAGTACACTATGAGGCTGTGGTCGAGAAGGCTCAGGGGTACAAGTGAAGACTAGTACACTATGAGGCTGTGGTCGAGAAGGCTCAGGGGTACAAGTGAAGACTAGTACACTATGAGGCTGTGGTCTAGAAGGCTCAGGGGTACAAGTGAAGACTAGTACACTATGAGGCTGTGGTCTAGAAGGCTCAGGGGTACAAGTGAAGACTAGTACACTATGTGGCTGTGGTCTAGAAGCGGGATAACAAGGGAAAAAGTAGAATGCATAGGATAACTACAAGGGAAAAAGTAGAATGCATGGTCAAAGACTTTTACAGGGTACTACAAGTAATTTCAGGAGGCGCAGATGAAAGATCTTCAAAATCGAAATCCAAGAAGAGCAGCAGGAACCGGATAAGCGCTGTTGATGTGGGGATATACGTATGCGAAGGCTAGTGAAAACGGGGATAGGAAATTTTTGGGACGATGTGGGAGTGAATAAAATTTTGCTAACAAGGCGTCGTTGTTGATTTTTCATCGTGTTTAAAGCTCGACATTTCTCAATCAACAAGTTTTAGTTTACCTGAATCATATGAAGTCGGAGTGCAAAGAACAAGATGGGCGCGTCAAAACGGAAAGTCAAAGTCTTTGTAAAAGCGGTAGCGGAGCTATCTCCTTTAGATACGATCTCATGATCTAAAACAAGGTCTTGGTCCTTAATAGCATGGCGTGTGATCAATGGGGCGCAAAGAAGTCCCACGCATACCGCCGATAACACAAGGGAAGGACTGAATGAACTCGAGGAGGTAAAAAAAGCCTTGACGAGGACTGGAAGTCGAGAGTAAGTAAATAAAGAGCAAGACTCAAACGCCTACGCGCACATGCAAAAAAAGCATGGAGTGTGGCCAGGAGGTAAGGTCAAAGTAATTGTGTTAGAGATCCACGCTCAGTGTCAGTAAGGCATAAAGTAGACGAGGCAGTGTTTGGCGAACAGGTGATGAAGGATCAGAAGTGAAAGGAGAAGGCAGAGAGAGAGAGATACTGTTTCTTCACCAGCAAGTACGGTGTAGCAGGTGCACGAGTTGTGATAGGTTGGCGAGGATAGTGATACGGCAATTCTGTATCTGTGCAGCACGATGGCCTTTTTCTTGTGACGAACACTGACTTACCAAGTTCATTTTCGGGAAGAGTCGATGAAGATCGGTCATTGAGTGATGGATGTGCTGTACAACCTGCAATGCGTTCTGAATATTAATTCTGCGGTGACCGTAAAATTTCCAAACACCTACTCACAGAGGCTACTATGTACTGAGGACGATCCGAACTTCATCCGAACTTAACACTTCAATTTTTACAAGGTACAAAAAAAAATCCTTTTCCACCATGGAAAAAAACACTTCCATAGGCATCCAAAAAGTTTTCTTCAGCTGAGGAGAACTTCGACCCTCAGAGCGCTCCCAATGCCAGTTGCTATTCACTTGCCAGCTTTGCCTGTGACGATCTTACTAGAAACACAACCGCCTCACTTGTGACCTTCATTCGAGGAGGAACTCGATTTATTCGTTCTACTTGCGCGCAGTTTCCCTGCTTTCTTCACTTGATATTACGACTACTGCTGCTCAAATTCTAACTCAAAAGTCAAAGTCTCTTAGTCAGCTATGCCAGTTGGTATTCTCTTTGCTGTCGTCCCAGCCTGTCATGGTCATGCGCATACACATGATACAGGCACACTACAAATACTGATACGCCATGACCTTGACCTTGTCCTTGGCCATGCTCTTGTCTTTGTCTTTCTTTTTGTGCAGAGGTTTGTCAAAAGAAGCCCTGGCCTTCACGCTCACCTTGAGACTGAGCCACTTTCTCTTTCTCAGACTCAGCCATCGCCACGCCATGAAGGTCGTGGTCATCGACCATGTGCTCCTACTGCTCTCTACTGCTTCTACTCCTACGCTACCGCCACCTCTTCCGCGTTTTTCACTTCTGAAGACGAAGATCTAGATCTAGGCCAAGGCCATAATCACGATCAGAGGCAAAGCCAAAGACTTCGATTGCGACGCGTCATTTTTTTTGCCGTCAGCAACGGCACCAACTTCAACAACAAGAACAGAATCAGCGTCATCTTGTGCTAGTACTAGTACTCCTACTGGCAGCAGTAGAACTCTTCACCTTTTTCCCCTGCACCTACGAGTCCTAGCACAAGTGCTACAACAGCTACGAGTGCCAGCACGCCTCGAACTAGATCATCTACGACTACGCTCGGTTTGGGTTTGCAAGGGACGAGATTGCCATGCCATCTGGATCTTCCTTTTTGGTATTTGACTCATTATGATGAATATGATTATGATCCAATATCCATATGCATACACAAATACTGATACATATACAACAGCAACAGCGTATACTTATACTTATTTTCGATTTTGGGGCTTTCAGCCGTTTTTGTTGGGTAACCCTAACTGTTTTCGTTTTTCGCATATGAGAAGAAGAACACGAATAGGACTAGCTCTCGCTCTAGCAACCGCAACAGTTGCTACTGCTGCGTCTACGCCCCTCGTCCGCCTCTCCTCGTCCAGTTCCAGAACCCCACTGGGAATCATAATCGTGGAGGTGCGCCTGTGCGTTTCTGTTTTTCATATTCTCGTTCACGTTCTCAATGACAATGACAACGACAACGACGGCGCCTATTTCCATCTCCATGTCGTTGCTGTGTAGCAGTAGTAGCACTCTGTTGTCGAGCTCTAGCAGTCTAGCATTAGCACTAATTGCAACACCTACTCACATTGATAATCATCTTTGTAAAAAATTGCATTGGGTAGGCGTAGGAGTGCTTCTCCCTCAGTTTCAGTTTTCATCCATTCTGTTACTTTTGATTTGATTGCGTGCTCTTCCTCTTCTTCTTATGCCTATCCGTAATTCACTATTCGAATTCGTATTGGTATTCAAAATTCCTATTCAGGATCAGCATCAAGGTGAAGGTGCTATTGCTATCTCAGGGTCAGCGATTGTTCAACGGCAACAAATCTAAATCGACGAAGCTTCGCTTTCACCTTCAGCACCAAGAGCAGGATAGTCTGACTATGATTCATTTTGTTTTTGATTTTCGCCATATTCATATTGTGAATGTTCAAAATGAACGTTGCTCATTCTCATTGTCATTCTCATTCTCTTCTATTCTCATGAAGTTAAAACTTGAAATCAGGATCAGCAGCCGTATCAAATGGGAAGTGGTTGCGCAATGTGGATTGACATTGAGGATGGAGTCTCGGTCTCCATCTCGATCTAAATCGCTCAGGCAGTGTTTGCGCGTCTACGTGTGCGACTGCGAGTTGTTGCTATCTTTAGACGATACAGACATCAGAAACGAGAAAAATTAAGAAAGTTGCAGCTCTAGATCTAGTTCAAGTTCTAGGTCCAGTGCTAGTCAGTCGCTGTAGTTCGTATTTTAGATTCTGAGACATCTCTTACTCTTACTCTTCATCTTCTAGGACTCGGACTGCGTAGTCGCTGTTGTCCAAAACTTCAGTGGTGTAAGTACATTCATTCTTTTTCTTTTCTTATCGCGATCAAAATCAATAACAGTATCTAAACTAATGTATATCAGCATCGCGCCCAGATGCAGACGATGCGCAGAAATTCAAACGATTCAAATTCAAATCCAAACCCGACTTTTGTTTTCCTCTAACTCGGAGTGGGAGTCGGAGTGCAGCCCAACACCATCACCAGACTCAGATACGGATAACCGGAAAGCCAAAGCAGTACGATCAGGCATTCGGCTATGGGTGTACCTGTGAAGCAGAAGATGAAGATTACGGTTTGCGTGAGACGTGGTGGGCATTATGATGATCGTGGTTCTGATTCACTTTCACTCTTACACTAATTACAATTTATCAAGCGACCTTGCGCTTGCCGTTGCCCTTGCCCTTGCTGTTGCTCTTGCCGACGTAGTATCTAGTGCGTAGTAGTAGTTGTTGTTGATGTTGAACAAGTTGATAACGTTGCTGATCTGGGAGGGGGAGACCTTCTGTTTCTCTAAACAAATGCTTGCGTAGTTTATATTTAGTAAATTTACTAAATATTATTTACTAAAAGCGAACGTAAGGCAATGGCAATGGTAAGGGTAACGGCCTCGGACACGGACAGGTAGATAAGCAATATTATCCTTATGATAAAGAGCAGAGGCAGAGTGAGAAAGTGAAAGATAATGATAAAGAAGATACAGTTACAGTCACAGTTCGAGATGGAGATAGTAACAGTTAAAGTAAAAGCCAAGGCTAAAGCTAATGCTAAAAGTATAAGCATGCTTAGCTTATCCTTATACTTATAAGTTATAACTATATCACCATCGCGTCACGCCATGGCGTGTCTATCTCTATGTCTGTCAGGCTCATGCCTGCGAAGCTACATCTTGAACTTGGAGCTGGTGCTCCTATTCGTACTGCAATTGCTATTGGGTATCCGTATGGATCAAGGTGAAGAGGAAGATTAAGACTCATCGCCATCCTGGTCGAGCCTCTTGCAGTCATGCTGGTCGCCGTCGAGTGACAGCAATGGACGCCTTCTATTAGGGATGCGCCTAGACGTAGGCGTAGCGGACTACGTTCAAGATGGATTTGGACAACTTCAAGCTTGACGGCAGAGGCTGCGATAGTCTGGAATTCGAAATGGAAGGGCCTTCAGCTTCAGCTTCAGGCTTCAGCTACAGTCTCAGCTTCAGATTAAGCCAAGGGTCTAAGACTTGTAATCAGATCATCGATATCGCGTTCGAAGCTTCTTGTTTCTGTTACTTTTAATAGCATCACGGACACTGATGCGCTTGTGGCTGTGTCATGTACATGTAGACGATGCTGCTACTCTTACTGATAGTTGTCTCATCTTGATCAGCCATCTGCGTCTCATTCTTAATCTTTAACTTTATCTTAATCTTATGAATAAGAAAAATAATATTGTTATTCTTATACATATACATACGCAGATGCTTATACTTACTGTTATAGTATACTCCTGTTAGTATTATGGAGATATGAGTTCTGATATACTGAAATACTAAGACGCAATCGCAATTGTATTGCTAACCTTGGGGTAGAAGTAGATCTCATCGAGATCGTGATCGTGCTTTTTATCATAATCAAAACAGAAGGATCAAGCAAAGAATACGGACGAGGATGGTTCTGAGTTTGATTGAATTACGATTCACGCTTCGCCGGGCTTACTTATATTCATCCTCAAATAAATTAAATGGAAGCAATACCAATACGAATACCTATACCAATACGAAAACGAATACTGTCTATTTTTTTGTATTTTGTAGCCCCAGCCCGACTCCTAGCCCTAAGCGTGAGCCCTAGCTGGCACAAGATCGAGATCAACGTCAAGGACGTGGGCAACTCGTATTCCTTCTATTCTTAATCTTATGAAAGAAGTAGTATCAGTATCTTAATCTTTGTCTTTGTAATCTAAATCTTATCCTTAAACATAATCAAAGCTCAAAAGTCTTATGCTTGTGCTGTGAAATGAAAATGTCTAGGCCTAAGTCAGTTGTTAGCGACACTGTGACAGTATCAACGTCAGTGGCTAAGTCTGAATCTACATCAATAGCATAAACATACTATTATCAACAAAGATTACCAAGCCATGTCTCTTTCTCATTCAGAATTAGTAGAGGTCTGGAATGCTGCCGTCATCTCCTGCGGCAGCGCCATCGGGACTCGCCTGCGCCTGCTGGTTCGGTTTCGTCTGTTTGGTTAGACGTATTGTTTTGCTTTTGGTGAGAATGAGACGAGGACGTGCGTGTACATGTAGAACCAGAAGTAGAAGAAGTGTCTGGGTTAACTATCCCTCACGTGTACCGATGCCCCTTTAATTATGTATATCTCAGCAACGCGAACACGCAATCGTAATAATAATTATAGACTCTAACACTTTCACTTTCGCAACGACACCGAAAGCCTTAAGCTGTTGCTGCTTGCTGCTGGCGCTTGCGCTTGCGTAGTGTTGAATGCGTCAGAGGCAGTCCCACCGAAGGCTTGTCTGGCGTACTCTTGCTGCTGCTGTGCGCCAAGTGCGGTGTTGACTGACTGCAGCAGGCTTACCTCATAGTTCGGATGCACTATGAAAGAGGAGGCGCCTATGATGATGGGGACCCTTAACCTTAAGTACCCAGTTACGGATAGCGACTCTGTGACTTGTTATAACTAATGATCTAGATCTATGCCTATGCGTATGCTAATGCTATGAATCATTTTAAGTCTAACAAAAATCGACTTTCCTCCATCTCCATGCCTTAAAGAGCATTCGCATCTTGGATAAAAGGTTGTTCTGTGCTTTTTTTTGTCCGTGCATCACGCCTCCCGTGATAGTACAGGTCACCACCTCTGCCCTGATCTTCTCCGTACTTAGAGGTCAGCAGTCAGTGTCAGAGTCAGTGGTCGCGGTGGTGGTCACTGATGGTGAACGGAAGGGACCAACCTCAATGAGAATGACCACTGAAGCTTTCACTGTTCGAAAGTTGGGCCATAGCATAAGATCACCACTAAGATACTCGAAGCACAATTTCCGGTAAAGATTCTGACGTGTGGTTTGGGTTTGCATTTGGTTTAGCGTAGAGTTTAACTTACAGTGACATCGAATGGACTTCGACTTGCCAGCTATTATAATTACTATTACTATTAGTACGCATTTATTAGGATCGCCATCCCCACCGCCATCGGGATCGCGTTTGCGAACCAACGCGGAAGTGGGTGCACAGCTAAGATAAGAATAGTGATAGCATAACCATAAGCATAAGCATAAGTATATATGACTATGTGATTACGAGCAAGACGAAGACGAAGACTAAGTCTGGGTCTAAGGCTAAGAGGATCAGAGTCAGTAAGTACGAGACTGCGCTCGCAATCCTCAACCTCCTGCAAGACCAAGCCGGTAGCGCGGTTATTGCTACGAGTCAGCTCTTCTTTCAGATTCTGGACCTTTCAAGAATTAGAACAAGAGTACGCTTCTCGTTCTCCTTCTCCTTCTCATTCTCTTGCTGGGGATGAGGATGGAAGAACGCTGGGAAGCTGTATGGGCGAGGGTTACGAGTACGACTGCGACTGGGACTACCAGTTTGATTATGGTTCATGAAGATGAGCGGGAGACTGAAACTAAAATGAGTGCCGTTGCCGTAAGTAGACTCTCCTGCACCAGAGGCGGCATGAGGAAAGTGGCTGGCGTCGCTTTCTTTAGAGCTCAAGCCAATTCATCCCTGTGGGTGCGGGAATCCACCAAGCGCGTTGCTCTAGGATGCATTATCATTATCATCGCGTGCTTGGTGGATCCCTATAACTATATGAGAGACATGGCCCGGGGGGAGCTAGCCTTAACTTTTGCACCTGCAAGGCCAAGGCGTTCACTCCTCCAGCCAAGGTTACTGCCGCGTCGAGGCGGTGAGTTAGACAAGAGTAGGAGTATTGTGTCTCGATGTGGATGTCGTTGTCGATGTGTGTGCCTCAGTCTAAGTCAGGGTGTATGTGTGAAAAGTATAGGTATAGGATACTAAAACTAATTCTGCTAGTACTATAAGTATAAGTATAAGCATAACTAAAACTATTACTATATGCGTATGCGTTTTGCTATAGTAGTACTAGTTAATAGTTATAGCGGAAGCCATAAGATTAACGCGAGGTCTCACGCTGGCTGGACGTTTTTGCCCTTGGCTCCTCCGTTGGTTTTCTTCTTACCAGCCTGCTGCGCGATGCCACCTAAGGATAGTTGTTAATTTGGATCGATGGTTTAGGTTTGCCGTCTGCGTTTCCGTTTCGGTTTCCATTTATTTTTTCAACTTGAATCCACTTCCACATGCTTACGCTCAAACCGAGAGGCTAAGGATGTAGATAGCGCTGCAGGCCGCGCGAGTAGGGAGCCAGATTAAGCCTAAGCACTTGGCCTAGCCCTAGCCCGACTCCCCCAGTCATATACTTATACAACAAGAACCCACAGACAGGACACAGAGGAGAGGCCCGCCTGGTGGAGGCTAAGCCACTTCGCTTGGGGCTGCGTCGTCCCCAGGCAGACTGAAAGGCAGCAGGGCGACCTTCCTGGCAGAAAGTAAGGCAGTCGCTCGGAGTTTCACGGGCTGACGCGTTGGGCGCCAATTGATACCGCAAACACCCGCGAAATGGCACGCATGTGCGTAGTCGTGGCTCCTTCATTCAGCGCCGAAGAGCTTCTCAACGGCGTCGAGGCCCGGCGCCGACAGGCATTCGCATCGCACTGGCCTGCGACACTGGTGCGTACCACACGGACAAGGGCGGCGGCGCTCTCCATGTCGATCATAATGCCACGCGCTTGGTGATGCTGTCAAGGCGCATCCGCAGAAGACTCGCGGCCGGTGACGGCGCGGCCGTTGCGGTTGGCGAAGTGTTTGCCGGGGTCATGTTGAACGCCAAGCGCTGGGGCGAAAGATAAGCTGAACCACAGCAGTTCTAGTTCTAGTTCTAGTAGAAGTACTAGTACCATTCTTGAAATGCTGCGCCAATTCCGAAATCTTTAACTGAGACACGTCGCGAAACCAAGCCAAAACTGCCCAATCGATCGGGCTGGCGGACGGCGAAGGATTAGAGTGCTTGCGATTCGGAGCAGTGCCCATTTTCATAGACATAGATGTGGAAGGATATCTATTTCTATATGCAGTAGAACAAGAACTAGAACTAGAAAGAAAAGCGTGATACTGATAACAAGATGAGGAGCAAAAAGGTCAAACGCTAAGGAGGATTGTAGTTGGATTATCATTATGATCACGACTGCGATAGCGATGAGGATAGCCATAATATTCCTCAAGTCGTCCAACTGCTTGAACGGCATGCTCAGGTTGAATCGTTAGAAGCGGAGCGAAGGCACTGTCTCAGCGACACTGACATAATCAGAATGATTGAAGACCAATCTCTACCCGGTGTAGGTAGCTGTAGCTGTAAGAGTGCTTGAACTTGTAGACTAATTTGACGCACTTACTCTCGTCGGCATTGGAGTTTTACAAAAGCAAGGAAGTAGGACACTGTTCGAAAAGTAAGTCTATCTAATCGCAGATGCGACGCATAACACTGCAGGCGTGGATCGTTAGCCAAAAACGAACAAATTTCCCGCTGCAGCATCAGATTGGACGTGAGAGGCGTAGCGGCTGTGACGCACATCCATTTGATGGCGAATAAATGGATGTCGGCTTCGCGGTGCTGGCTTAGCACGCTGAATGGCAATGGTGTGCGTGTGGATTGTTAAGCTTAAGCTTAAGGCTTAAGTTTATCTTAGCTCCTGCAACTGTGAGCGTGACTATTTATCTGCTAGCTCACGCGCTAGCTCTACATCTACATCTAGTGGCTCTTGATGTTGTAGCTCGAGTTGTTGTTGTAGTTGTAGTCGTTGTAAAATTAAAATGTAAATGTAAAATTAATTTTACTCTCTCGGCCACGATTGCAACGTGCGCGCAAAGATTGCTAAGTTTCGAGCAGCCTCCAGCATCCCCATCTTCTCCGGGATCCCAATGACAACGTTTTCGTGAATACGCACCTCCAGCAGCTTACTGAGCATCAGGTTAGAATACCTATACCAAAGAAGGAAGGGATGGATCTGAGCGCTTCTAAATCTAAACTTACAGCTACTGCTACACCAGCACCTCGACCCCAGTCGCGTGCACATCTACACTCAGTCTTAGTAAAAGTAAACGAGGGTCTAATCTAAGTGTAAATGAAATTTTTTAAACTTTTTACTCTCAGGAAGTTTGTCTTCTAATGTTAACGATTCGCATTCAGTCGGGACCAGGTGCCATAATGTTGTGTCTCGCCTGTTGTGGAAGCGGATGCGTGTGGCGATTGCGTTGTGTTATGGTAGCTTCTTTGGTTTTGACAAGGAAAACTAAAAGTAGAAGCACTAGACGTAGATGTAGTTGTAGATCAAGATCTACCGCTAGTGGTACTGGTAGAGGTAGTGCCACTACGTAGTCTAGTACAAATACAGCACGAGTAGGAGTCCTAGATGTAGACGCACACGCACAAGTGCGTGCGCATGTGGTTGCTGATGACCGTGGCCGGGTGTTGGTGAAGAAAAAGAAGTACGTAAAGCGTGCAGGGAACTTGGTCGCGAAATTCGAGTCCAGAAATTAGAAGGCGGCGCAGTCACGTCCCAGTACCAAGGAGAGGATTGCTACAGAAGTTGAGAAGGGCTCTCTCCTTGTCCTTAGACTGTGTCCAAGTGTGTCTCTATGTCTAAGTCTATGCGCGCTAGAGGTAGAGATAGCCATAAGATCAGATACGGCATCCATTCCTGGATAGAAAGCTCAATATCAAATCCGTCCGATAAAAGTTCGTGCAATTCAGGTGGCAAAATTTAGAAGGGAGGCTTTTTCTTTTGATAATTGATATGAAGATGAACAGGAAGATGAACCATCGCAATCGCATTCGGATTCGCAATCAAAGTCCTATCTGTAAGTGTAACTGTATTCGATAGTACTGACCTAAAGCTATTACTATAGCTATTCTACTAGCACGTGTGCAAGTACGTGCACAACTACAAGCACTAGGCTAGTCCTAGCACAAGCACTAGCTCTATTAGTCTAGTATGAGATAGGATTACGATTACAACGCTACTGGCAATCTTATTGCTATTCCGATTGCGAATGGAATTGCAACTGTCAGTGTGATGATTGACTGATGACTGAGACTGTGGCTGATTGTTGTTGTTGTAATGCTTTGCCGTAAATGTAATAGAAGTTCCCACTTGCGTTACGATACGAAGAGGCCACCGGGATAAGATGATGCTTCTCTTCTTCCAAAGCATGTCTTTCGGGATGGTAGGCGGGACTAAGACTAACCTGGGGGTAGAGTGAGACATAGGCATAGAAGACATTCGCTGGGTTATAGTTTTAGCTTCAGTTTTACTTTTTGTTCTGGGAGTACGAGTACGTGTACGAGTAAGCCTAAGTACCCCTTTGCTGTTGTCCTTCAATCCGGTTTGGTCTTGGGCTTCTTTCTTCTTCTTCGCGGCGTCTGCGCCCATAATGTCGTACTTGATGCGACTCGCCACAGGGTTGTAGACGTGTCCTCGCCACACAACCGGTTCCGTAATTGGTTTAGAAGCAGACTTGTTATTGAAATTGTATATCGTTAAGCCTTATGGATATGGATATGGGTTTGGCATGTAGTCGGAGAAGGACTTCTAGCGCCAGTCTGTAGTACAATGGAAGGAGATTCTAGCTGTGTAACCCTAAAACTAAAAGTAACTGATCTACTTCAGCTTCTACTTCAGATTCATCTGCCTCTACTTCTAATTCTTTTCTACTTCAGCTTCAACTTCAAGGTTCAAGCTCTCTCTATCGCAACGCTTAATCAACGGGGAAGGGCGCGGAGTCACCAAGGTTTCGTCCAAACCTTCTGCGTCGCCACCAAAAGGGTAGTTCTCGTCCGAGCCGGAACAGGTCTCAGCTTCACCAGTACTGCCAACTTTTGGGATCGGCGAAGCCTCCTTGCTGCTTCGCGGAATTCCTCTGGGGCTTCCCTGCGGACTGCTGCGGGGATTGGATGTGGTCGCGAGGTCTTCGCCTGGCTCATCCTTTGTGCTGAGTCGGATGTCCTTCTTATCTTCGTTGCTGTTAGCGTGAAGACTGCTGCGGAGGTTCTCGACGTTCTTGTTGAGTTTTAGTCGTTGTTGTTCTAGATCTCGTCGCGCGCGTTCAATCTTGTCTTGGGTGAGAAGCCACAGTCTGACTTTCTCTGGATTATCGATCTTGCCACAGTTGCCTAATGTGAAGAAGATGTTGCTTGTTGTTTGCAACAACACAGGTTGGTTTCGTTCTTCTTTCCAGGTAGTTGTGTAGGTGATGTGCTGGTGCCTCATCGTGATTTTGTCCTGAGGATGCTTTTCCATCCATGCCTCCACGTCCTTGACTTTCAGCAGCACAGATTAGAGGATGAGATACTCTAGATCTAAGAAATCTAAACTTTCTAAATTAATTAGATTAGTCCACTAGACTAGGACTTCGACTAGGATTACGACTTGGACTGCGACTACGAGCTATTCCTATTGGTACGAGTATCAGTGTGTAGATGTAGAAGTAGATGCGCGCGCTGAGGTCACCTCGTGCTGGTGCTCGATCTTGGGGTTGAGCACCAGCGCAGGTAGCTTAGCGAACTTCTGCTATTTCTGTCCATAACTGAAGGCGTCCCCATTTGCAACGAGGTCAGGATCGTTTGTTGACCTCATCGGAACCAACCGATAGTTGCTAGAGAAAGTGCTACCGACAGCAACGCGAGCAACCGCAGAATCTGCTTCGTTCGGCTTGACTCCAGGAAATCCAACGATCGGGTTGTGGTTCTCTCCATTTTGCGTCGTGGTAGCGTGGTTTTTCTGAAGAAGCATTTCACCTACTGCATCCGCATCCATTGCTGCGCCATCACACCCTGCGATTAGACTCAAACTCTTCTACCGCTAATTCTAATCGCTACTAGCTGCTCATCTTTTCTAAAAAATCTAAATTTTCTAAAAATCTAAACTTTGTAAAAGTATAAACTTTCTAAAAATCTAAACTTTCTAAAAATCTAAATTTTCTAAAAATCTAAACTTTCTAAAAATCTAAATTTTCTAAAAGTCTAAATTTTCTAAAAATCTAAATTTTCTAAAAATCTAAATTTTCTAAAAATCTAAATTTTCTAAAAGTCTAAACTTTCTAAAAGTCTAAACTTTCTAAAGATCTAAACTTTCTAAAGAACTAAGTTCTCTAATGATCTAAATTTTATAAAGATCTAAACTCTGTAATGATCTAAATTTTATAGAGATCTAAATTTTATAGAGATCTAAATTTTATAAAGGTCTAAATTTTATAAAGATCTAAATGTTCTAAAGATCTAAATTTTCTAAGAAAGTAAGTACTTGCACTTCGAGTATCTAACACTAACTCGCAGAAGCATTGGCTTTGGTATATCTAAAGCTAAGTCGTTGTCTTTCTCTTTGCAAGGACCTGAATCCGTGCACGTATTGAAATTGATACCCAATCCATAAGGTGAAGCCAAGCTCGATCTTCATGTCAACTCGCATTTGGTTCACAAGGCGGGACAAGCCCTCATCATCGGTACAGGCAGCAATACACGCTTCCTCCTCGTTCGGGGAGTCAGAAGCGCCTCCTTCCTGGTCCTCCTCGTCGCTGCCGAGCTCCTTCTTGATCTGCACCTGCTTTTCGCTCTTGAGATCATCTTGCGCAGGATGCAATACAGCTTGCCCCGCAATCATCGCTAAACCAGCAGTGCCGTCAAGCTTCGGCTGCTTCGCTTGTCTGTTCGTGGAGCCAGCAACTGCTGCGCGCTTATAGTTGGATCCACACGCGCTGGCACTGAGGTCGACGAACTGCAACGTCATTGCGCCGTGGCCTTGACCTGCAGTCGTTAGGATGGAGATAAGCGTTATGGTTAAGATGATGTAGCTGCAGATGTTCCAGAGTCCAACTGTTACTCGTGCTCTTAGTAGTACTAGTACTCCTACTCTATTATGATTAGCTACCACTAGAATTATACCTCATTTCTAATCAATATCAACATCTCGCAGCTGGTGCTAATCCTAATATAGTACCATTGATAGGTCCGGTCATGCCTGGCAAGATCGGCGTTCTGTTGCCAAGATCTAAATGCTGAGGCTTGAGCAAAGATTGCGCATGCCCCGGGAGCGGGGATGCGGATGGTGCTGCGTTTTCGTCCTGAGGATCGCGGGCTTGGCTTCCAGGAGAAGCCGCCGGCTTTCTGACCGTGTGTCGTCGCAAAGACAGCGCGTACTGGTGTCCTCGGTAGAGATTAGAGCTGCGCGCTTCGCGCTTCGGAAGCCTTATCATTATCTTATCCTTATGGCTATGCTGAATGTGAATGAGTACGGTTCAACGTATATGAAATAACTTAGCTGAAGTAGTTGCTGAGTGCTGACAAAGGGCGACGTTTATTCTTCTTAATGAACATTTCGCAGACTTTTCCCACCACTCCAAAATGCACCTGATACAGTAGCACTTGGCAAACCGCGGCAATTGCTGCCACGGCTGTTTCCTTGCTCGCTCTGCCCTCCCATTCAAGGAACGCTGTTATGTTGAATTAGATTTAGACCCAGGCAGTAAGATTAACACTAAGTCTAACATAACAAATCCAAACGAGAGGTAGACAAGGAAATATAGAGTCTATGTCCATGAGGTTGAAGATGAGGATGGGGCAAGTCTAACACAATCACCATCACGGTGTGTATATGAATATAACAAATATCGACTCCAGTCTCTAGGGAGAAGTTACCTGGTAAAAGGGGCGCCAGCGCGACGGATCTTAGTGGGCCCAGCCTGCCCTCGTCTAGAGCCTTTTCAAGGGCTTTGCTCTTGTCTGGCTTACTCTTGTGGGCTTCGATAGTAAACTTCAAAAAGTTCCCCAGGAGTCTCAGCGACTTGTTTTCGTTTTCTGCTTGTGCTTGCGTTTTGATATTCGGTGGACAATCCATAACGAATTTGTTCAGCATCTTGATGTTTGACACGACCCTGTTTAGGTGAAAGGGAAGAAGGCCTCTGACTAGGCTTTGCTAGTGCTAGTAAGCGGATTCTTTTAGATTTTTTAGATTATTTAGCCTTAGCTTAGTGGAGGGGTAGTTTATGCCACTTCCAGTTGTAGTAGTGTTTAGTATATAACTTCAGTTCTAATAGGACATAGGAGTACCAGCTAAGGGCTCCCTCGATGTTCGTGAAGTAGATGCTCTCCCAAAATTTCAACGCAAAGACGACAAAAACGTGATACACGTTGGTGAATACGCGGTGTGCCAGTTCGACTTTCTTGAAGTCTGGCTGTGCCTTGATGAGTCTCTTCTCGTATATGTCGACCACTTGCGTCAGCTTTGAGTATCCATCCTCTGCCCTCTTGTGGGCATCTGGCTTTCCAGCCTTCTCAGGAGCCTCCAATAAAGGAGCGTACTTTCTGGATGACGGTGGTAGAGGAAGAGCTAGAAGTACTAGAGGAGGATGCAAAAAGCACGCTAGTCTTCGTGTAGTTGCAGATGGTCTTGCGCATGTTGTTGCTATTATACATAGTAGTTCTAGCACAAGTCCTACAGGTACAAGTATGTCGATCAGAATCAGTACAATAGAGCAGAGCAGTGTCTGTCTTCCAATTGTTCTCGCGCCATGCCAGCCAGCAGCGAATCCAATTGTTGCGGCTTCTCAAATTAGAGCCGAAAACAATTCATTTCCATTTCTCGCATGCGGGTGCATTTCTTATTCTTTAGATGCTCTAAGTCTAAGTCTAAGACTAAGTCTGAAACTAAGTCTGAGGAGAAATCTAACTCTAAGAAAATGCGCCCTGGGTTTGGAAATCAATTGCGAAGAGCCTTAATTGAACGGCAAGCCGTCATTATCTGCTTCTTGATACTTGAGGAATGCGTTAGATGATGATACGGACAGGGAGATGGGGCGATAAGGTTTAGGTTTTCTAGAAGAGGGACTTCTAAGTCTAAGATTTAGGCTTTTCCAATTTTTCTAAGGGATTGGGGATGAGGTTGTTTGGGGATAAGAGTTGAATACTGGATAGGCATATCTAATAGATATAGAACTAGAAGTGGGGACACCAATAGCAATACGAATAAGGGAAGGATTTGAAATGGGCTATGGAAAGCTTACCATAATGATACTGGCAACGAGATTGCGTGTTTCTTTCACGTTGTACGGAGGCTCCGTCTGTTTCGCCACTGCTAGGATCTGGTAGTGGAAGTAGGAATAAGAATATCAATAACAATATGTGACCGTAGTGATAGAGATAATATTGGCTAAGGATATCAATATGTCATGTGATCTGCAACTTCAAGTGTAAGTAGTTGCACCTCCTGACGGTCCTCGTCGATGATCGTGGCTTTGAAGAGACCGGACGCGAATTGTTGATTAGAGGTGCACGAGCAGGAGGAAAAGGATAAGGGTGCGGAAGTGCGTGCTCTACAGCTTGAAACTGAATTCGAGTGGCCATAATTTTCAGAAACGCGTCCTGCATTTGCGCATTCAAAACCGTGCCAGCGAGATGCTGGGACGCGTCGAACGAGTCGTTGAACAACTCGTTGTTTTCGAAGGCGAACGTCGCGCAAATTAGAGAAAGCTGGGTGGAACTTTCTGAAGAATATGATATGGGTACGGCGTGCGCGTAAAGCTCACTAGTAGTAGTACTAGTACTAGTAGACTAGTACTAGTACTAGTAGAAAGACAAGCAGTAGCTGGTCTTGGCACGAGTCTAGTGCCACTGGCATGCCGTAAGTCTTTATTGATCATGTTGTTTTCGAGGGCGTTTCCTTGCTGTGCAAAGGACACGCTGTGTCCTCCTGCGAACAGGTCGGCCATGTCTTCAATCTCGTGACCGTCCATCTTGGGTCCTTGTTGTTGTGCTAGTAGTAGACTCTGATGGTATTGGATACTTTATTACACGACTTGGATTTATTGGAATACTCAATGCTGTAAACTTATTTCCCAGAACTTCTGCTTCCTTGACGCAAGTCGTATTCTTACTTGTAGTCTTGCTTCTCTTCAGGACTATCTTGTGGAAGCACGTGAGCATGTAGGTGTAGGAAGAATGGCGAGTTTTTTATTCTCGAGAAAGAGGGTGATTGACTTGGCTATGAAGTGATAACGTTAATGATGGGGGATCTCGATTACCCGCTATTTGGATAGCAAAAAAAATCTAAAGATTCTAAAAAATCTAAAGAATTGCAAGGAAGAAAGACAATCTTAAGGAGAAACAGGAAAGAAAATGAAAAAAAAAACCTTTCTCGTTCTCTGTTTCTCGGACGCAGAAACACGCTCTCCAATCTCAGGATGCTAGCAACTGCAGAGCCTTCAGCTCGTCTTTCTCTGTGATACTCTAAAAACACGACTTACTTTGACTCGCTCGTTCCTCGCTCTCATACTATCCGAGACGACAACTCGACTCCGATAAGCTTGCATCTGAGCACCCGATCCAGTCACTTATGGCGCTAAATCATTTCATACTTCGTGCTTTGATTTGGACTTGGATAAGTGCTAGCCAATGAGATTCAGTTTACCTTTGCGGAGTCTCAGTCTGTAATAGCATTAACCTTAACGCACGTGATCGAGATTGGTTTTAACGTAATGCATTTGCATACAGATATAGCTAGTTTTACGCGTATCTTAATCGTTCACTGTCTTTTTCTGCTTTCGTCTGAACGTGAACAGCTTACTATTACAACTACTCTACATCAACAACTACATCTACCTTTAGCTTAACTACAAGCACAAAGACAAACTCCTAGGGATAGCCATTGGGTCCGCCTAAATCTGTCTTTCTGGATGTGCAGAATCTGCGCTGCAGATTGGATACTGGTAAAAGGACCAAGGTCGCCTGCGGACGTAGAAGCGCAGTTACCTAGAAGTACTAGAAGCACTGTGGCAGTAAAATTTAAGAATGATTTAGATTCTTTAGAAAAAGAAAGTAAGAGTCTTCTGAACGATTTAGATTCTTTAGAAAAATTTAGAAAGAACTCTTTCGAAAGATTTAGAGTTTATGAGGATGAGACCATCAAAGGCAAGCTAAATATACCATTTATAAGATCGAGACCCGCGAGCTTTGGCTACTCTGTGAAGCGACCACCAAAGTGGGCCATTTCTAAGGCGCTAGCGGATGCAAAAAGCGGTCCAAATGAAGACCCCAGCAGTCCAGATTCTGGATCGATCATCGAAATCGGCCATTTCTAAGGCGCTCACGGATGTAAAAAGCGGCTCAAGTGGAGATCTGACGCTGCTCCAAACCCAAAGTCGACCATCGGAATCCACAATTTCTAAGGCGCTCGCGGATGCAAAAAGCAGGCCAAATGAAGGTCTGGGGCTGCTTCAAACTCGAAGTCGATCATCGAAATCGGCCAGTTCTAAGGCGCTAGCGGATGTAAAAAACGGCTCAAATGGAGGTCCGATGCTGGTCCAAACCCGAAGTCGACCATCGAAATCGCCCATTTCTAAGGCGCCAGCGGATGCAAAAAGCAGGCCAAATGAAGGTCTGAGGCTGCTTCAAACTCGAAGTCGATCATCGAAATCGGCCATTTCTAAGGCGCTAGCGGATGCAAAAGCAGGGACTTCTGAGTGTATGATAAAAAGTAACAAAAAATGGCTTCCCGAACTTGCAAATGGTCGTTTCCCGGACTTGCATTTCTGACTTTGTAAGTCGATGGATTCCAGTCGGTGGAAGCAAGTTCGGGAAGCGTACTTTTTGAAGTCCGGATCAAGTCCGGGAAGGACCTTTTGAAGGTCATTTTTCTAATCAAATTCAAAGGCTCAAGAGGATCCAGGAAGAGCTTCACAATTGGACTACCTTCCACGCCTATTATTCGGTCGATTTGGCTGGCCAACGCCGAATAGCGAAGATTCCGACTCCTCAAAAGCAGCTGCTTTTCTGGATCCTTCCACCACTACTAATCAATCGATTTGGATGGACGTGGGTGAGGTCTGGAAGGAAAGGCTCCAGAATGAGCGTCTGGAGCAGCTGCTTTTCTGGATCCTTCCATCACTACTAATCAGTCGATTTGGATGCACGTGGGCGAGGTGTGGAAGGAGTGGCTCCGGAGCGTCTGGAGCAGCTGCTTTTCTGGATCCTTCCATCACTACTAATCAGTCGATTTGGATGCACGTGGGCGAGGTGTGGAAGGAGTGGCCCCGGAGCGTCTGGAGCAGCTGCTTTTCTGGATCCTTCCATCACTACTAATCAGTCGATTTGGATCCACGTGGGCGAGGTGTGGAAGGAGTGGCTCCGGAGCGACTGGAGCAGCTGCTTTTCTGGATCCTTCCATCACTACTAATCAGTCGATTTGGATGCACGCGGGCGAGGTGTGGAAGGAGTGGTCCCGGAGCGTCTGGAGCAGCTGCTTTTCTGGATCCTTCCATCCCTACTAATCAGTCGATTTGGATGCACGTGGGCGAGGTGTGGAAGGAGTGGCTCCGGAGCGTCTGGAGCAGCTGCTTGTCTGGATCCTTCCACCACTACTAATCAGTCGATTGGGAGAGAATTGCTGGCGATCCTCATTTGGATTTGGTCTCCGCTTCAACATCAATGGCGCACCAGGTCACCTGCAGGCAGACCCAGTAGCTATCACTAGTACTTTCTTGAAATACACAACGTACGTCGTACGAGGCTGTCTTAGTCTGAGTGCTAGTCGCATTCGGATTATTCATCTACTTCTACGTGTGCTTGTGCTTCCACTGCGGCGCTTACTGCTACTACTGAACTGCTGACGAGTTACTTTTACTGCTGAACCTACTGAGACAGAGACATGCATAACTGGGGCTGCGTCTCCATCACAAACACGATCAGTACCAAAGTCAAGCTTTCTACTTCTTCATCTATCTTCAACGTCGAGAAGAGATATTCAGTTGCTAGAGAAAATTCCCATCGTGATCCGTCTTCCAGCCCCATGGATCTCTTTCTTGTGCATCGTCACCTCCTGCAACGTGATCGTCCACGTCTTCATCTGAATTGATGTGATCAAGATCAAGGTCTTCTTCCTCGTAACCGTTGACTGCTGCCGCTGCTGCTACGCGTGCTGGAGTCCTCGGTACGTACCTGGCACCCCGCCGCAAGACGGTTCTAAAACCATCCTCAATCTCCTCGACTTCGTCCGAGGAAGGTACCCGCAACCACTTGTAGACATCAGCATGCAGTTCGCGAGAAGCATCGCATTCTTCTTTCACCGAAGGATAGTTAGGGAGTTCTGCAACTATCGGAGCCATCCAAAGGCCGTACGCATGATCGATTTCCGCTTTGGCAGCGTCGTCTTTCGGTATATCCGGCCACGCAAGGAGCTTCATCATGAAGCGATACCGAGATACTGCATGGGTAAGGTAGGTGTGCACCGCTGCCACTGAGTGCCGTCCTACCGCTTTCGTCAATTCGCCGCTGCGGTGACATCCCTGGTAGTGATTAAATTTAGATGTAGCATTAGAATTAGGGATTAGCATTACAGCAGGAAATCTACTTTAGAAAGTTTAGAAAATTTAGATTTTTTAGATCATTTGGAAGTTCAACTTCAACTCAAGTCTTTATCTAAATGTAAATCCTACCAGGATTCTGTGTCCGTCCGGAAGCTCTAAAAGCTTGTCGAAGAAGTGTTTTTCTTTCGATCTGCTCGGTAGCCGGACGACGATTGTTGACGCGTTTGGGCGGATATAGAAATCTCCAAGAAGATCTGCTAAAGTGTCTGCGATAGAACGTCGATTCGCTTCTCGTTGCTGCTTCCGCATGAGTACAGCCGCTGGCTCCATATTTGCTGCTTTCCGTGACCGTTTGCAATGCGGCGAAAGCGATGTATCCTCTTCATCTTCATGTCTGTGCTCTTTTGCTGCACCGCCTAGCCGTAGCCCTAGACGGTTGCTGATGTTCTTAGACTTAGTACAAGTAGAAGTAGATGAGCTAGACGCTCCGACTTTCGGCTTTTTCACAGTTGATGCACAGCCAGCCTCTTGACCATTCCGACTCGAGTATCGATCCATCTTTTTGCTCGCTGCCGATAGAACGTGAATCTGTCCAATCTGCTTCTCCACATTCGTTATCCAGGTATCTGAAACGGGGTCCTCTCCTACAGGCTCACGCGCCAGGCTTTGCCGCAGCTGTTGAAATGCCTGATCTGCAGCAGTATCCGCACCCTTGAACTCCAAGTCCAAAGCATCGTCCGCTTTGCCTTTCCCTTTGTCTACTTGCACTTGGGCTTGCAGTGCTGCTAACTTCGACTTCCGCGTAGCAGCAACCGTTCCCGGCAGTGGCTCTTCAATTTCATTCGAAAAAGATTTCGCACTAATTCGTTCTATGGGTCTGTGCGCTGACGTGCCAGTTCTGTGCGCTGGAATAGAAGCTTCCAGTTCCACGCTTTTGCTTGCTGCTGCAGAGCGAGCGTCCAACGCGGGTCCCAGATCTTCCATCGCTGTCGAGGGTGCCGCTGCTGCGCCTCGTCCTAGTTCTAATTGAAAGCGTGGCTGTAGTTCTAGTTGGTATTGGATCCGCTGACGATCAGAACCACCAGAGTCTGTAGCTCGGAGGCCTCGCTGCAGTCTCTCTTCGCAGTCAGGTGCTGGGAGCAGTCGTTCCTTTTCTTCGTTTCCCGCGCGGCCACCTAAGGCAGAGCCAGAGCAACTACTTGGAAGAAGACCAACAGGTGTGGAAACTAGGCTTCTCGGCGTTTTTCCGTTCGACTTGCCGTCCAAACCAGCCGCAAACGCAGGCACATTCGCACCTCCAGGCGCAGACCGATGCGACTCTGCTCTTTTGCAGGACGAATGTTGATTCGGCGTTTCTGCTTTAGAATCATCATCATGCACTTGCAGACCCGCACGCAGATCGCGATCTAGTTGGAGACGCGCACGAAATTGCGGTCCTTTATCCTCGTTCCCGACGAGAAACTCATCTACCAATAGATCACCTTCTTCATCATTTCGGCTTCGCTCTCGGAAGACAGACAGGGGCGCTGCCGCTCGTGCCTGAAGGTGAAGCGGATCGTTCTCATCTATATTCTGCTCCTGATGATGCTGTCCTCTTGTTGTAGCTGTAGTTGTTGTTCCCGCACCCGCAGCCGCACCAAGAGCAAGATTAGTAGCACGCGTGAGTGATGCTGATGGTGATCCTGCTTCCGCATCTTGCATATTACTGATCTCGAGCGGCAGTCGATGTTGTCTTCGTGATGTTGGCTTCAACCGTGGAGCATATGGCTGTCGCTGCATGCCCACGTCTGTCCGCCCTTTTCGTATGAAGTCGTGCACATTTAGAGCGAAGCCATCGTCATCCCGTAGAAGGTCTTCTCCACCGTACCTGGATGTTCCTGAAGTGAGCAGGTCTGTTGATGGCGCCATAGTAGACCAGATCTGCTGCTTCTTGTTCTTTTTCTTTGCTGCGCCATCGTGGTTTTCAGTTGCAGAAGCGGCTTCCGCAACAGCTTCCGCGACTGGATCTCGTGGCTGAAAGAAAATTGAGGCCCAGTCTAATTCCACGTCCAGCCGATTTCCTGGCGCAGATGCGCCTCCGGCTCCTCCGACCTGCGGCCCAGCAACAGCTCCAGCAGCGTCTTCTCCATTAGCTTTAGCGTCATCTTCATCAGCATTCCGCTCCGCATCATCATCCACGTCCCGATCCTCTTCCACGTTATCGACCATCTGAGGCAAGGTCTTGACGTATCGGCCTACCGTTTTGACAGACATCGAACTTATGAAAGTGTAACAAAGACAAGGACGGACGGAGCAGCTTGAGCTTTCTACATCTACTTCTACTTCAAGCCCAACTTGATGATCTTGATCGCGTCTCTGTATCTACATGCTGTTGCACATGAAGAAGCATTCGCATGGTTGTAGACAAGGACAACTAGCTCTAGAAGCCGAAGAGTTCGTTGGTGCTAACAGTTCTAAACAGAAACAGCGTCCATTCATAAGCGGAATCTCCAAGTGTTGCAACTCATCGAAATAGAGACGCTGCTTCTCACCGTCGCAGTTGCCTAGACGAGCACCGAATAAGCGGCCACCTCCTTGATCAAGAGCTTCCTGAACCTCCGTTGGTAACGGTTTGGAGCTCGACAGCCGTGCGCCTTCGCTGCACCATTCTCCGTCTTCAAAGCCCAGCAGTAGTCGAATGGAAGAGCACTCTACTGGATTCTCCGCGCAAGAGCTGATATCCGTAACCAATACCTGCTCGATAAATTCGTCGATTGACGCGTCAATGTGTCCCTTCTCATCTGCCATGTCAGTACACAACGGCATCCGCTCCGCCACCCGGGTAACCTCGATCCCGCTGTACGACCCATCGCCAACAATTAGAAGAAGAAGAATAAGAAGCGCAATAACTGCTACTTTGACACTGCAACTGCAGGTGGGTCAGTAAAACGAATAAGCGCCTTCCCTAACGACACGTGCGGAAAGATGAACCAGCGAGCCCCAACGAAGAGGTGGTGCTCGTACTCCTCGTCCACTTGTTTGTGCCGACCTTCGTATCGCTCTTCGCTCGATTCCAAGTCGATACCGCCATTGACGTCAAGAACTTCGCCTCGATTGCGATCACTAAGGAAACAGGAACGCGGTGGCTCTGGTTCGTCCATTGACTGTAACGCTCTGGATCTCCATCGGCATTAGAGGACGTGATCGCATGCTTATCCTTATGCCATAAGTAGACGCTGAAGCCCAAGCACAGCCAAAGCTACAGGTACTGGCACAGACCAAGAATTCTACAACTAAATCTAAATAATCTAAATTTTCTAAATGTCCTTAGAAAGTTCAAGTTCTCTTTTCCCATTTTCCTCAGCTTGTTTCTTATTATTTGACTATAGGACTTGCGATTGCGTTCGCGATCGCGTGTGACAGTAGATCTGCCTCTGCCATACCTGTAGTCCCGCTGTAATATTGTCCGCTGCTGTAGCTTGTGCTGACGAATATCTACTGGCACTCGGAGCACTGCCACACTATCGTACGAGATCCGATCAGACATCTCCTTCACAAGCTGTCTTGCAGCTCGCTTCTTCGCCTTTTCGTCATCCTCCTCATCGTCCTCTGCGTCTTCATCGAGATCGGCTTGTGGCTCTAGTTGTGCGTCGGGATCTGTCGCATCGTGTTGTTGGTCTGACCCTGGTAGCGGATTGTCGAACAGATCTCCGGCTTCATTGAGCTGTAGCGCACAAGACCCATCAGAAACCGCTTTTCTCTTGAGTCGAGACTTACTCTTACGACCAGCTTCGGCTTTCGTACTCGGTGAGCCCTGCTCCCCTACTCTGGTCTTCGACTTGGTGTTGGTACTGCTCTTTGCCTTTGCCGCAGCTGCTTTCGCTTTGCCTTTCGGTTTGACAGCCTCTGCAGACACCTTTTTGTCGTACTCGAGCTCTCGCTCCAATCCCTGCATCTCGTCGTCGAACTGGTTCCCCGAGTTCACGTCTACCGCAAGCCGCTGTTTCAGGATTTGGATTGTTGTACCTGCGCGAATCTTTGCTGCCTGTGCAATTCGAGCTTTTTTGCGAATTGAAAAAAACCAAGTCGTCATGTGCGAGAGCTCCGCACTCATCTTCTCAGCGGAGTCGCCCCACATGCGAAAAGGAGACGAGCTTGACCCTGGCAACTTGTAGTCAAGTGGAGCGTAACATCGACTGATCTGAACATCGACACTGTCTTGCACCGAGTACGTCTTCTCGCAGTATTCCTCCACCATGCGCCTTCGTATTCTTGCCCAGTACTCGAGGTTGCGTTCATGGATCTGCAACTGTTCCAGAATCGGCTTTTCGTTTTCTCTTTCGAGTTCCTTGATGCGCGTGCAGGCGTACTCCGTCTCCTCGCGATTGTCGTCTTCACGAAGCCGATTCCACCGATTTGCCTCCTCCTTCCATCTCAGCTGCGTTCGGATGGGATGATCTGCAACACTTCCGGATACACCGAAATCAGCTCCGTTCCGCATCGCTTCACTCTTCATCACATCCCTCTCGTCGTATGGTCGCTGGTTGACGAATTTGGTGCCGTTCCGGATCGCCAGTAGGTTGCTGATCCGGTTAACAGCTTTCCGCGAAGCATTCATGTTGCCAGAAACCATGTCTCATGAAAGCAAGGAGAAGCTGAAGGGAAAGGATGCGAATAGGAATACTCGAATACGAATACGAATAGGGAGTATTACTCGTATATTCTATATACATACTTTTACTTGCAGCGAAACTTTCTTTTTCGACTTGATTTAGATTTGGAGAGAGGTGGTTCAGGAAGAAGAAGCCCCAGAAAGACTTTGATTTAGACTTGATTTAGATTCTTTAGAAATAGGCTCAGGCCGTAATGCTGCGTGAGACATCGAGGAGCTCAACTCTAATCCACGATGTCTATTATTTGTCTGGGACGATTTTCCTTGGATAGCGTGCCTAGATTCGCACCGCGCAGTGGATTTCCATTTCGTATTTCGCACTTTGAGCAGCTTGCTAACGATCTTAACTGCAGCAACTGGCGTCTTACGACGAAGCAAGCGCCACAGCGTCCGCATGCCATCCGGCTTGGTCTTAATCCGAGGAGGTGGTGGCCCAGAACAGAACGAAACCACGTACTCTTGCTGAACCCGTGACGCGTTGCAGCCCATTGTCCTAGTGCTGGCACTTGGAGCATCATGATCATCTACATCAACACGCCGTCTTTCATCAAGAGCCTTCGCGCCCTCAAAACCGCGAAACCACTCATCAGCATAGGACGGCTTCTGCATTTGTGTGTCTGCTTCTAGTTCGAGGACCAGCAGGGTATAGACGCCTGCTCCCTGAACCTGTTCCACGGAATTGATCACACCGCGTCGCTGCATATCGTTGCAGCTGCCTGGCAGCTCAAGCGCGAAAGTCTGCGAACTGCAGCTATAGTAGGTCTTCAGCGTCCACTTGGTAGCCTTTCGCAGTACCTCCATCATTTCTGGTCTTTGCATTCCGTCATCCTTTTCGAAGCGAATATGAAGTCGGTCCGCAGGGATCAGCGAAGCTCCCAGCATACGAACTGCGGCTAGGTGCGCGTCTGGGGGTGTAATTGTAATGATGTTGATGAAGTTGGAGATAGAACTAGAAGTCCAAGCTGCAGCTGAAGTTGTAGATCTAGACGAAGTGCCAGCTTCTACAACTACGCGCACGTACTCCGTGTGGGTGTCCCTACCGTTGCTACAACTACTACTACTACTACAACTACGTCTACCTCTACCGGTGTACGCTATCGCTACCCCTACGTCTACGACAAATCCACGCTCGGTCCTGCGTAGATTGGGAAAGCCAAGGAAAACTACAAGAAGAAAGAGAAGTACTACTACTACTACTACTAGCACAGACGAAGTCTAAATATTCTTGACACCATCCGCTGGTAGCTTGAGCCATCGACCAGGTTCAAAATCAATCTGCGTCATATTTTGGGATTCCCAGATGGCATCGACGCCAGTGATTAGATTGCGCATCTAGATGCGTCTGCGCACCCACCTGCACACAATTATGATGAATAGGAATAGGAATGCGATCGATGGACAAGACTACACATAGAAGCTCTACGGAGAGCGCAGGTGGGTTCGAAATCGAAGAGGCGCTTTTTTCTAGATCTCAGTCTTCATCTTCTCAAACAGCTACCCCTACTCCTACACCAGGCCTACCGCCTACGCCGGGGCAGATTTAGATTTAGAAAAATGCGACTTCACTTCCAGGATCGGGATGCAGTTGCAGACACAGCCACAGATAGCCGTAACACACAATTCGCTTCTGATCTTGCTCGGCAGCCGTTCCCTACCTGGCCCCATCGCGTCGGCTGTGGCTCCTTCAAGCCGGCTATGATATTCGTCAGCGCGTTCGCTGATGATGATGATGATGCTGTTGGACTAGAATGCTCAATGTACAAGCCCAGACAGGCGCGACGAGTGCTACGGCTACATCTACTCCTACAACTACATCAACTTCAACGCTCAACACCAACAGGACCCGGCCACCTAGTTCCAGGACCAGCCACTACTAGTACTGCGTCTACTTCTTACATCTACAACTAGAACTACTAGTGCTACTACTTTCCGCTTCCCGTTCCCCCACCTACTTTCCTACTTCTACTACTATATCCACTAGGACTAGCACTGTATCAGTATCTGTAAGAGTAAGTCTAACTCTAAGTGTACGTGAAAGAGCTACTATATGATTATAGTACTGCACAGTTCCCGATTTCGTGTAGTCAAGCTGCGAATCGTCGGCCAGTGCTCTCTGATCAGTTGCTGTTGAAGTTCATCTGCCTGCCTTCCTTGCACTTGGACTTGCATCCCTCGACCTGCGTTATCGTACTCGACCTGGCGCGGCACTCTGGAGCCGCCTGCTGCAGCTGTAGCTGACGCTCCAACTGATATTTTTTCAAGCTCGGTCTTCACTTGCTCATCCAAGATTGTTCGACGTTCTACCAGCTTGTTGATCTTGCTGTACATCCCGTAGGCGCGACTGATCCTGGTGGGATCACGTGTCGGCGCATTTTTCTTTGGGCCACTCGATGCTTCAACCAGATGCTTGGTCAGTGTCAGACGATGCCGCGTCATCGCCATAATCTCCTTTCTGAGTCTGTTCAGCAGACACGTCGAGTCGACTCCCAGTAACCAACATCCTTCAGCAGAAGCATCGCACGAGGAGTTATTCAGAGGATGTCGCAAGCATATCCCCGGAAGACTGCAGAACCCGGTGGCGTCGTCCTCGTACTGCGTCTGTTAGAATAGGAACTGGCATCGGTGTTGGTGTTGCAGGCCATCACTTGGGCAGGCAGTGATCTCGTCTGCTGAGTTGGAAGTGGGTTGCTATGCTTATGGTTACGGTGATGCCCATCCTAATGCCAATGGAAATGCAAACCCAAATGGTTCCCGTTCAAGTTAATCAACAGCTACAGCATCCCATCAGCATCAAGCTCAGGGACTAATAATTGTAATAGAAGATGTAAGACTAGCTCTAGGACTAGGAGTAGGCGCAATTGTAGCCTTGGATCCTGTCTGAAAAGTCACAACCAATTCTCATAACTCCACACCTCCAAGTCGTTGCTCTCCCTTGCTTCTATGATTTCTGCCTTAGACGTTGACAATAGAGTATTTGAATACTATTTCTATTTGATTTCTATCCTTTCGCTTTCTTTGACTTTTCCCAACGTGTTGCTTATGCTTTTGTTGTAGAAGGTCTTTTTTTGCCATGTCTTGGCGCAACAAATATCTAATTCTAAATCCCAATCACGTTCTCCTTCTCCCTGTGCCTGTCCCTACTGCTACTCCATCTCCTTCTAGATGTAGATATCTTTATCTGTCTACCTCCAACCAATACCAAACTTTGCCTAGCCTCTGGCAGGTTCTACCTCGCCTTAACGTACACCAGCTCCTCTAAAAAGTGCATACTCGGAAGGCTGCTACCTCCCGAATCGCAGTTCAAATCGAGAACGACCAGCTGCTCCCATGGATGATGAGGCAAGAGGTAGGGAATTAGCGGTCGGACAAAATCAGAATGCAGCTGGAATACGAATCCGAATAGGAATCATAGACTTAGATTTAGACTTGGGGTAACTATATCTAAATCTATCTCTATCACCCCAACAGTAAGAGGATGCGTTTGCCTGTCTCTAACTCCTTTCCTTTATGCCTATGGATATGCAAATGGTTTTGGTTATGCAGCAGCCATAAAAAGAGATAGCGGAATGCCGCTCGGGCGTTTCGCCATGATTCTGCTTGTTTGCCGTCCGTCTCTTCCTGAACCAGCGAAGTTACCGGCAAGGGAATATCGTGACGACGATCGTACAAGATCGTTCCATCTTCATCCAGTCGTGTTAAGACAGCAAAATGGAGTAGCCATTTTGGCCTAATCTTCAGTCGTGTCATCAGCCCAACAAGCTCCTTCATCATGTGTCCCGTAAGTGGTTAGCGAGTCTTCATGTTCATGCTCGTCGCAACCTAACTCGAACACGAGCTGAAGCTACTAAAACTCAATATAAATGAGCAATGCTAATACTAATAGTAATAGCCAGCAGCTTCTTTATCTTTACGGCAAAGGCAGCATAGGCCTTCTTGTTAATCTCCTGACAGCTGAGCTACTGCAACTGTTTTGTGTAGCTGTAGGTGTATCTGTATGTGTATCTGTATGCTGTCTACCCTATTAGATTTAGAGATAGACTACATTGTCACTGCGTCTCCATCTACCATCACGATTGCCGAAGGCTAAGGCAAAGACGAAGTGCTCCTTTTCCTTAATCTAGCGCAGCTCCCTCCGCGCCATCGTACTCGTATCAGAATTTAGATGAATGAATAACGAAAAGGAAGAACAAGAAAGAAGGAGATGAGTGAATAACTTTAACTGCTACTGAGTAAGAGTAAGTTGGCGTGAGGATGGTTGACATTGAGTCTGAGGCTGTGACCAAGATGAAGCTGGAGACCCGTATCGAGCTATTCTTATTGCTATTGTCTAGTACTAATGCTAAAGGTAATGCTTATGCTATCGCTATGCCTCAGTCTATCTCTATGAGAATCAGAAATCAAAGTTTAGACTTGCTCTTACACTTACGGCGACAAATTGAATAGGTATAGATATACGTTTAGGCATAGATATGCGTATGCGTATGCGTATGGCAGAGTGTAGACTTAAATCTGAATCATGCCATAAGTATGGTGTGATCCGTCCCAGCATGTTCTATCACGGCGGCACATGAAGATCGCGCGCGCTTGTTTCTGATCCTCTGAGATCTCGGCGCACCGTTGAAGCCTCAAGACCTAGATCTGCAACTGCCAGTAGAAGTTGAGCCTGAACTTGAAGCACCAGCACACCCAGAAACAAGCCGCTTACATTGCCGCCATAACTCTTCTCGCATTACCTTCTGGGCTATCCGGTCAGTGTGGACAAGCACCTTCCCGAACCAGCCACCACTGACTTCTGTAGGTGTGTACGAGTCCATGTACCTGCAAGTTTAGATTTGCCTCTCGATGGAGTTGGGGACCAGGTTGTTAGTAGGAGTCCGAGTGCGTTCACGTACGCACTGTAAGTGTAAGCGGAAACTGAAAAGATACCAGCAACTTCGTCCATGTAATTGTAATTGTAAAGCAGATCCTCATCCTTCTGAGCAGGACAAACGCAAACACAAGTAGAATTACCGTCCCAGGGCTGCTTCCGCCTCTTCTAGCGCCAGAATCTTCATGCGTTCAGCTTTCTTGCCACTGGTTTCCGAAGAAGCATGGCTGCGTGGCACTTCGTTGTCGAAATTGTTGCCGCTGCCAAACCCTCTGATGTCGAAAATGGACATCGCCGTCTCTGGTATCGATTGAAGACCAAGATGAAGATCTCGCTTTCTCTTCGAGTTTTTCTTGCTCAGAGCATTGCCCTGCACCTGTGCCAACTCTAAGGAGCGCAGGTTCTCTTTTTCGTTAGCCGAAGAAGAAGATGGCCATCCCACGCCAACGACCACGGGCCCGCTTTCATCCCTCGCGACACGCAGGTCGTAGACATGCAATAAACCACCGTCATCAATTACTGATCCTGTGGGACTCTGCAGCGCCAGCTCATGTTGTGGAACTCTGGCTCCCGAGATGAACGGGCTCGCAGAAAGTGGATCGCTCAACGCACTCCGTAAAGCCTGGCTACTCTGGTCTTGATCCGCAGTCGTTATGTCTTGTAACAGGTTCTCCTTGAGACGGGCTCCACGATTTCTGCGAGATGTTGACGAGCTAGATGAGCTGGACCCGGAGGAACCTTGTATCCAATGTAGACTATTGTTTTCTAATCGATGCCGCTGCCTGTGCCTGCTAACAGCTTGGTTGCTGCTCTTCGTCAGAGGTTGCAGCTTTCCGTCATCACCTATTAGCATCCCAGTCAGATCCAGACTATCAGCAGCGGACGAAGTTGACGAGGAAGTCTGATCAACTGGTAGAAAGGTCGCTCGCTGCCCCACACGCCTGCGGCCGTCGAAGTGCAATCGTTGGCCGTCCATTTGGTTTCTTCGTCAGACGATGTCGCCAAAGCGAACGCGACTTGTCCTTCCGAGATCACCGATCACGATTTTTATCGCTGCCGGCGACCGCGCCGGCGAGGAAGACTAGGAGAGGTCGCGCGCCAGAATGTCCCCTCCTCGTGGTGGATATGGTTATGCTTATCTTTTTTATGGTGATGCTCGTATTTCCTAGTGAGTCTTCTTTCGTTTGCGTTTAGATCTTTCGATATACGTTTAGATTGAAATACAGTCCCCCATACCTGATAGTGATTGTGATACTGACACTGGCCCTACTTTTTAACTCAGACTCATTTCCACTCGGTCTTGCCTTGGTCAGTAGAAGCACACTATCATTAGGATTACAATTACCCGATGACGAGGCCATAGGCATAGTCCAACTCCAAGTTTACATCTAAAGTTTCTAAATGGACGCCGTGGGAGACTGCGAGAGGGAGTTCAAAAGCAAAAGGAAACGCAATCGGGAAAATAGGGCGTGGACAGAAGAAGGCGAAAAGTCGCTCGCTTTGTTTACCGATTTGGATGCGCGTGCGAGACACCGATCTTATCGACTTTGAGACTGTATGGCGTTCTTGTTCAGCTGGGACCTGAGATACGGGCTGATACGCAAGCCCCTGTTTGAATTTGAGTGTGAGAGTGAGAGACCGATAGGGATAGAATAAGAGATATTGATATGGCTACGAAGTTCGTAGCCGTATTCCAAGTCCAATAGGCACTAGAAATAGAATGGGGGTCGTAGTAGGAGTGGGAGTGGCGAGTGCGATCATCTGCTCACTGAACTTTAGGTTTAGCACTTCTTGCAAGTACTAGCTCTAGTTCTGTTTCCACTTCCTCTTTGTCTTTCGGTTCCACTTGTTATTTTTTCCCTTTTACTTCGTCTCTTGCTCTTTCTCTCAGTAGTACAAAACTTCCGCTTGAGCTTCTTTTTATTCTTTTTCGCTTTTCCTTTTGCTTTTCATTTTCTTTTGATTTTGATTTTGTAGAGATTTAGATTTACACTTAGGTTAGGCTTAGGTAGACGCACTTTGTGTTTGTCAACGCACTCGAGCTCTAATCTCCAAGGCTATGTCTTTCTCTCACTCTCTTCAAATCAGTAACAGAGCTTCTGGGCCTAGTGCCTAGGCCTCTCTCCTCTCCTTCTCTAACATCTGAAATAGGAAACGGGTGTGGGAGGTGCAAGTGGTGCGGACACCACAGACTCAGGATGGCCACCGAACTCAGATTCACTTCTGACTCTTGCTCTAACTTGTCTTTGTCTGCGCCTGGGAGCATGACCTGCAGTTTTCGACGGAAAACAGAATCGGAGCTGGAGCCGGGGAATGGCTTCAGCAACAACATCAACTTCAGCATCAACTTCAACTCTATCTTCGCAACCAATTCCAATTCAGCGGCTGAAATTGCCGGCAAGGTACTTCTACTTCGCTTCTACGGTTGCAGTATATGTAAATGTATAGGTATACCTATAAGGATATGTATAAAATAAGTAAGATAGATTTGGACATAGATGGGGATGACGGTAATCAGACGCTAACGCTTCGTGTTAATGTGAATGATATTGATATTGATAATCTGAATCTCATCATAAACATTAACATAATCTAACTCTAATACTAATTCTAATCAAAATGATAATGCTCACACTGTTAGCGTTAACTTTAACGAGAGTGATAAAGATAAATTATCTCGGATGAAGATAGTCTAAGTCTTAATCATAATGCTCTTCCACAAGAAAATGAGAAGGAGAATGGCAATGGGATGGGCCTCAGTTGCGTCTACTTTTGCCGCTGCTCATAGTATAACAGTAACTATCTCTTGCTCCTCCTCTTCGACTTCGACTTCGTAATCTTTATGTTTGACCATGGCATGACGATGACCATCACCATGACTCCCTTGAAATTGATTTTGATACTCTACACGACACGAAATCTCACTGCAGGCGCAGGCGTTCGCCAATCGGAACGACAAGACCATGATCGAAGTCTACCTGTCCACTCCGCTCACCGTGCTCGGACCACCTGGGCAGCAAGAGACCGGTCTCTTGCTGCTGGAGGTGGAGTTCCCCATCGAAGTCGAGGATGGCCACCGTCTTGGGATGACCATTTTCTGAATGTCTCAGACGCAGACCGTGACCAAGTCCGCCTCCATCTCTTGCGTGTGCCATGGCGATGGCCGTGCGGCGATTTGATTTAGAGAAACTGAAGGAGGAAGCGCATGTGTAAGAGAAGGAGACTATGGTAGAGTAAGAGAGATGGAGTTGCTCTTTTCTTTAAGATGTAGGCGGAGTAGCAGTAGCTGTAGACCCTCGATGTAGTTGTAGACGAGGTTGGGGATGTAGTTGTAGACCTAGTCCTAGACCATCTATACCTATAGACTTTAAGGATGAGGCTGACGCTGCAGCTGAGCTAGGCCTAGCAATCTAGCTGCTAGAGCTATCTAAGGACTTCAAGTTCGACTTCTATTACTGAATTACTTTTGACGTTAAGTGTTTAATGTTTATGTTGCTACCCGTACTCCTACTCCTCCTCGTCGTCATGCTCCGGCTTATTCTGTTTCACTTTCTTGCATTTGACTTTGTGTTTGATATTGCTATTGATTTTGATATTGAAACTGATGCCATTTATAATTCGAATCCTACAGCTACAGCTACTGAGTAGAACTTGAAGTAGGGCTAGAGGTAAGTACACACAGGGCACACGGACAAGCGCTAGCTCTAGCACAGCCATAAGCATAAGGATAAGGACCATGGATAGACTCTAGCCTTAACGAGTCTTGTTTTCGTTCTGCTGGTCCCATTCGCATTCGCATTCCTATTCCAATTCGACTGGATCACGATCAGTAACTGGAACGTCTAACCGTAGCATCATCACGATCAGGATCACCGAGCTCCCATTCTAATAAGTCTGCAGATGCATCTGCGTGAGCGTGTGGATGAGGATGTGGAAGTGGAAGCCCATGTGGTAGACGAAGAAACGTGCTGTGAAGCCGCCACTAGCATCTGCTTCTGCATTAGGACTTGCGCAGAAAGCTCCACCACCCGCGCCTTGGTGTACGTCTTAAAGCGGGAGGGAGACCCTACGGTCTACTCAACTACTACTCCTTCAGCTTCAGGGCCATGAAAATGAATCATGATCTTCTTCATTATCACTTCTGTCGATGTCGTGCTCCTGCGCCTGCTCGTGGCTGTGAAACAGAAAACGCTGAACGTGATAGGAGTAGAAGACCGCAAGATCGGTGAAGTTCGAGATGCTGGCTGCAGTGCAGTTGGAGCTGTAGATGTGCAGGTGGTTCATTCGCCTTCTTGTTCTCTATCCGTGGCGTATTTGCCTGTAGACTACCGCTGTCGAAGTCTCTGTCTGCAGCGGGCCCACGTGACCCATGGCTATCTGTCTTTGTGGTCGCAGGAGTAGAACTAGGAGTAGACGAAGATGCGCCATTTGCACTTGGAGCAACAGCCGCGCTTGCGTTTGCAGTTCCAGATGGGATGGCGTAGCTGTAGATGCTCGAGGCGTACTTGAAGTAGGTGTGCGCGTGGCTGTGCGTGTCCATGTAGTCGTAGTGGCCGCGATTCAGCTTCTACTCTTCTAGACCGTACAGAAGCGGCAATCGTAACAGCGGGATGAGGATCGCCAGCACATCTAGAACTGGATGGAGATGGAGAGGCACCGGCTTCGAAGTCGATCGCGATGCGCACGCCTTCTTTCTGCCATTGGCTCTCCATCTCGCTCTCACTGTCACTGCTTCGCTTAATGATAATTACTTGCTGTCCCTGCTTATCCTTCTCGTTCTGCCATCGGGTTTGGGTTTCGCCCAGGATCACCTTCGCAGGATGGCTGCCTGCGCTCAAAACGAAGCTCCCACGGCCTAGCGCTACCGCTAGCGCACATCCATAACTAAGTCTCAGGTTGAGCCTGTGCCGGTGTTGTTAAAGAGCACTACCATGATCAAAGCACAGGCTCGGAGACGAAGAGCACTACCACTGCGACTAACTGCGCCATGAAATCAAAATCCGATCGTAAGCGTTATCCTTTCGTCGCATCCGCAGCCTGAAACTGAACTCTGAATGTGAATATGAATGACTAAGATGGAGATGCTGCGTCAGTCGGAGTGTCAATCTCAGTGACAGTAGACAGTCACAGTGACACTGACAGTCACAGCGTCAGGGTCGATCTCAATTTCAATCCTCTTCCTCGTTCTCAACTTTTTTCTATCTTTCCATGCGCTCACTCTCGTTCTCGCTTGATCTGCGTCTCGATGTCGATCTCGATGCGCAAGAAAGGCTTATCTCTGGTGGCCAACACCAACAGCAACAACCAGAGCAATATCTGGCTTTTGCCGCAGGCTGCTCATCCTTTTTTTGGCACCTTCGACGCCCTTTTCTGTAAGGGTGGCGGGATGGCTTTCCCCTTCATAAGCCAGTAATCGTTCTTTCGTCTGCCACGAAAGGAAAAATCTACAGCCCCAAGATTGCGAAACTTTCACTGTGTCGAAAATACTATTTGAGCAGCCTCTGAATTGAAAAATAATCACTGGTGAAAAAAAGTGACCCCTTAAGTTCGGATGAAGTTCGGAAGAAGATCAGTACATAGTAGCCTCTGTGAGTAGCCAAACACTACCCAAAAAATCTCTCCAAAGAGCAGTGAAGATATTGTGATTATTGACTGTTCAGAAAAAAAAAGTGGACATAAAATATACCCGCCTACAACACGGTCGTATGGATGATCTTTCTTATGTTGATGTAGGAGCTGATGTTTTCCCTTGTGTTTGCACAACTAGTACCAGTACTACAACGAAAAAAGTCAAAAGTTTTCAAATATGCACCTGCTCTTTGTCGTTGTATTTTATCAACATCAACACGAATATACAGCGCGAGAACTTCATCTGTCGGTTATGCCCTTATTTTTATTTATGAGTAAGTAGTCTTCAAGCAAGTCTAGGTCAATATTGACTTTTCAGTTACTCTTCGGCCGGCGGAGCCTCTCCCTCTGCTGGAGCTGCTTCTCCTGCTGCCGCTTCTTCTGCAGGAGCTTCTTCCTCAACCACCTTTGGCGCTTCGTCCGGAGCATTTGCAGGCGCTTCTTCGTTTGATGTCTTCTCTTTTCGCTTGCGTCCGTCGTCCTTGAAACTAGCAACGAGACCACGATCGTCCAACTTGGTGGAGATTTTGCGCAAAAAGTCCTTTGAAAGTCCAGCCTTCCAGGCGTCCATGTTGACTTCACCGTTGTCGTCCGCGTTTAGCATCTCAGCCCACTTCTCAGCTCCTTCAGATGTAGATGCAGCTTGCAATTCTTCCTTTAAACCTGTTATTCGAATTTGTGACTATGTTTGATGTGGTGTGGCTTACTAGAGTGATGATCTCATGACCTATTCGTAGAAGTTCTAGAAGATCATGTTCTTCTTGTTGGCCATGGCCGTGCCGAAAAACTACTTCCTGTCCTACTTGAACTAGAGCATATCGGCCTACTCTGGTTCCACGAATCCTATTCGTAGAAGCTCTAGAAGATGTTCTTGTTGGCCATGGCCGTGCCGAAAAACTACTTCCTGTCCTACTTGAACTAGAGCATATCGGCCAACTCTGGTTCTACGAAATCCTAGATGGATATGCATGCATATTATGTCCCTGTTGCCAACTTTCCGACGAAATTCTAGGTCTAGGATATTTTAGCTGATATTTTTGCTTTATTTCAAATTTCCGATTCAGTATCTTCAGTCACTTCCTACAAGTACAACATACAAGCACGTGGACCTGAAGATTTTTACCCAAAGCCGCCAAAGCTCTCTTCAACTCCTTGACTGTGAGCGTTCCGCTTCCGTCTGTGTCGAATTGCTCGAAGATTTTAGCCACATCCACCAAAGGTAAGAAGCCCTCGACCATGTCCTGATCGTTGAGTCTTCCTTCAATCTTCTCGCACATCTCTTTCGGGATGAACTCGACCCATTGGTCCACCGTAATCACGTCGGCGTCAGTGGTTTCGGAGGCTGGAGGGATTAGAAGTAGAAAGAGAAACCACTACTACACCTACGACTTCTACCACTACAGTCCACGTCCTTCAGTCCCCTAGTTTGTAGTCTCCCATAACTTATTCAAAAACTTCGCGAAGACTTCGTCGATGTCAGCGACCAGACTCTTGAGCCCCAAACACCGCAAAGCACGCTTCAGTTCTTTCTTCGACATCACGCCGTTGAAATCGGTATCGAATTGATGGAACACCTTGGTCAGATATTCCTTGTTGCTATCCTTTGTCGTGGCAGCGGGACTTGTTTTACTAGCTGGAGCAGCTTCCTTTGCAAGTGCTCCTGTTGCTTCAGTCGATGCTGCAACTGGTGCAGCTGGTGCTGTAGCGGCAGGTGCCGCAGCCTTAGACGCTCCACAACCCATCTTTTTTGTGTCAGTGTGCAGAAGTCAAACTATGGAGATCTTCGATTTGTCGTACTGAAGTACCACTACGTTCTTCTTGTTGTACGAGAGGGAGAGAAGGACACAATACTACTTGTCGAACTTTTAGGATGATTCGAGTAATAGAAATGAAGATACTTCTGTACAAGAATGCAACCTATAGGCGGAGTAGGAGTAGGACCTGGGAACAAAGGATCGACGACGAGATAGAAAGCAGGGGTCACGTCGAAGTCGAACAGAAAGAGCTAAGTAACTATGAGTACTTATAGCAAGAAAGACGAATTAATAAATATAAAATATAAATAGAGGAAAATTATAAGCTACGTAAAACAAACACAAAGGACAAAGAACTGCTCAACGTTTTTTTTCGGGGGGATAAAATGAGATCACGTTCTTCAAGAAGTGAAAACAGCCAGCGCTCCATGGCGAGGAAAGAAACAGACCGTCAATATCTCCAGACACAGAATGTCAATATTACCTCTCTCGTCTCTAGCTCTACTCTGAGTCCTCACTCCTGTCAGGAGCACCACACAACAAAGACAAACACTCTCATCTTCCTTCATGTTTTTTGGAATTTTTCAAAAATCCAAATCGTGTTACTCAACCTCCCCAGCAGAATCTTCTCCGAGATGAACACTGAGAGAAGAACTACAAGCTATGCCCTCGATCACGTCCGCGGGAACTCATTCATACCACGCGACGTAGAAGTACGAATTATCTAGTGCGCTAAAAAAAAAGCCAGTGCGCAGCTAAAAAAAAAACCAATCGCGCTAAAAAAAAAACAAACATTTTTCACAAAAAAGCAGTACCAATCGACAACGAAAACAAGAACAGTTTGTGGATGGACCTCCTCTTACGATCATCTATCATTTTTTACTCCTTCTTCAACATTCATTCTCTTCTCTCTAGTAATACCGTTGACAGTGACTCCTGACGCACTACCTGTACTCAATTGTTATACGTGCAAGTAGAAAAAAGGGATCCACCAGGATCAGACTGTTCAACAGTTGATGCAAGCCGTAAAAGTATGGTAGCTTCATCAACATTATTCAATACATCCACCATATCGTTATTTTTTTGCATTAATCAAATGGAAATGGATCTTCGTCTTGTTCATCCCCTAAATTATGGAGGCCGCTTTGGCCTTTGGAAGAAAGCTAAATAAGACTTAGTCAGTGCTAGGAGGCAGAAGACCATTCTTCTTCTACAAACCAGGTAAGCCTTTTTTTGTTCTGATCATGAAGAGAATGTCTATCAACTTCATCAACGTGTTGGCGGACGAAGACAAACACAAATGAAAAAAAAATCTAATTATAGTACTAATAGATGAAGAGACAACTGAGACTCAATATACTTACTTACTTTTTGACATCATCACTTCTACTAATCAATTGTTTACTGTTTCTTGAAGTTGAAGATAGGCATGCATGGATATAAAAATTTTCCACATGTTTGCAACTGTAGTAAGTCACTGTCTTTAGATGCTGCTGAAGCTGCACGATCTACTCTACCTCCCTGACCCTGTTGAGAGCGACGACTCTACTAAGTAGAGGAGCCAAGACCAAGAGGAGCGGCTGAACCTGAAGAGGTACTACTACTACGTACTACTACTTGATGAAGTTGCTTTGCGCTGCCGCTTGACGTCACGTTCTTCTTCATCGATGAGATTATCGTGTTCCTTTTTCCAAATTTTCAGGTGCGTCCTAAACCTCTCTCGATCCGCGTCGGTTAGTCCTTCGGTCTTGGCCTTCGGGAGATTTACGGTCCACGCGTTCAGTTGTTGCAGTCGCTCGGAGCGCATCTTGCGGTACACACGGACCCCAGGTAGAGGTCTTGCGGCATCGGAGGACGAGGTCATCGTGCGGCACTCGGCGAGTATGTCACCGTCACTAGCACCCTTCCACTCGAATGCTGCCGGTTTACTCGACGACCACCATTCCAGTTTCCACGCGTTCGTATCGAAAATGCTTTGGCGAAGGAAGTCATAGTATCCTTGTTGGGGATAGTCGTCACGTTTCTTTATGGCTGTATGAAGGCGCCATTGGTCGCTCTGGACGCGGCTCTTCACCTGAACAGCGCAGTGCCAGTCTTTGAGAAGTTTCAGTGCTGCTTCAGACTGAAAGCTTTCTCTTGCGCGACCCGTATACGTACGCACCACGTCCGCGTTCTGTGTGCGCTTGCAGGCGACTTGCAAATGCTCCATTGGGTCCATCGTGATCCTCTCGTGTAACATAGACCCTTCTTGTAGCGACTGCAGTTCCTTTATCATTGCTGCTTTTAGAACTTGAACAACTTGTTCCTTCATGTACAAACTACTTATAATAGATAATCTAAGTAGGTACACCATGATCATAAACTACTTGCGCATTGCATTTATTAACTCCGTTCTCGGTTTCCAATGATATATCGTAGGAAGTCGAGCTCGAGGTGGGCTTGCAACTATGCATAGGTATACTTATACATTATAGATACTAATGTTACTGGGTATGGCTCTGGTATTTGGTAACCTGAATTGGATCCTAAGGGTTCTCTTCTTGTTTTCCCTTAGGATCAAATTCAGGTTACCAAATACCAGAACCATTCATACTGTATCTATTTTTCTTACTTTTCCACCGCCAGAAAAATGTTCGTATCCATCGGTTAGTGAGAATGAGAAGGTAACACAATGACATTAAGAAAATCTGATTTGGAGGAAGTCTGAGTTATGAAGACTTGAGCGGCGGCTAAGTCAAAATCAAAAACGCATGCATGATAGATAAGTCTTTACGAATTCGAATGCTGGGCGTGCAGCACGATGAAAAATTTTCTGATTGAACAAGCTGTAGCTGTTGGACATGGACTAGAGAGCCAGGCTACATCATATTTATATTAATTTTGATGTAGATATAACAATAACAGTAACTCTAAATCAATGTACAAAAAATGTGAGTGTGACACTTGTTGTTCTTAACTCCACATCTTTTCGCATGGCTTGGGCATGTGCACCATAGTGGCTTCTGTACCACACATCTTGTTCTTTCTCCGTCGCGACAACGTTCTTCCGCTCCCTCGCGATCTTGGCTACCTCTTGCCACCGCTCGACTTTTTTGTGGGTTTCGATGACGCATAGCTTCTCGCTCGCAATATATGCGAGGAACTCCCGGAAGGCTTCATCTCGACGAGCAGCGTGCCTGCGTCGGCGGCTGCAAACGGTAGCTGCTCTTGCGATGACTCCTTTGGAGACTAGTTCCGAAACCTGTGGATGGTTGTCTTTGTCGTGCTTGGAGATTGCACTCAAGAGACCTTCCAGCCGAGCTCTTCCTTCTTCATCCTTTTCCACAGACATCTTCGTCAGGTCGTCAAATTCAAACGGATAAAGCGGATCTTGAACCAACCCGTTGATTTTAGCGCGCCCGTAGATGCTACTGCTGTCGTCCCTGAAATTTTGGTGATATAATCCACGCCGAGGCCCGCGGTCGCCGCGGTAGTAATAGAAGTTGCGCAAAGTGAAATGGGTCGGACGAGTCATGGGATTCTTGTCCCCAGCTGCCTCCCTTGCCTTTATCTGGGCACCTCCTTCCACTGAGTCTTCGACCGCGAACCTGCGGACCAGAGATTCTATGCAATATTCGCGTGTGCCTTCCTCATATGTGTACTTGTGCTCGGGCAACCATTCCCCGAATTCCGTTTCATCCGAAGGGTACAATCTGGCTTGAAACCAGCATTAGAACTTCCTACTTTCAACACCCTCCACCTTCTCGATGAATATTTTTACTGAGAAGAAGATGAATATTTTTACTTGGCTAGTTGTAGAAGTGAAGCAGGCAATCAGCTGCCGCGTGCCGCAAGAAGACCTCCGATCCTGTGTCAAGACTTTGGCTTTCCCCATTTCTTGCTGTTTTTGAAGTACTTAGCATTGCATTTAGGGGTACTAATCAAGTAGAATTAGAATAATCGATGATCATTATCCATTCATCTCAACAAGATGGATTCCTGGAAGCCTTAACAGCGGTCTCCTCCAACCTCGAGCCCTTTCTCCCATGCAGCTGGAGCAGTGTGCTTCCGTGTCCTCCGAATCTCTGCTATCGCGGCCGCTCGGGACCTATCATCGGGAGGTGTAAACGATGCATCTCTCAATGCTTTCACAGCCAGCCTGCATTAGAAAAACGTCTATATCTGCCTGGTGTCGAGGGTTTTTTCATTGGAATTTATAGCCTAGCGCTAGCAACCTGCAATAAATGGAAGCAAATTTTTTTTACGAAGCAAGGTGGCAGGAGATCAACTACATCAAATCAAGAAAGCCGTGTAATCAATATTCATAAATAAAAATATTTATATTATAAGAACCCGCAACCAACCCTAGTAGCCGACGACACAAAAAGGAGAAGATAGCCTAAAAGCCTCTGGGATAGCAGGTGCACGGCCCCGAAATAGGATGACTAAGATGTTGCAACTACGAATGCAAGTAGTTACAGTTTCGCCCCCTATCAGGTCGAGCTGCTCGAGTTGAACGAGTTCCATACCAGAAAAGTTTTCGGCGCGCCCTTCGGGCGCACTGTCTTCGAAGCCTCAAACACGTTGCCCAGGAGCGCTAACCACCTCCAAAAGTGAGCGCCTCCCTTAGTTAGCGTGCGTCTCTTCTCTGCGAGGCGCGGCATGCGCGGGGCAGACAGGAGCAGCGCCACCTAGGGGCCCTGCTCTGCTCTCGTAGTTTTGTGCTACTAAGTTGGCGCACCTACCTAGTATCGCTGCTGCCCTATAAAACAAACACACTAAGAAAGCTACTCCATTCAGGTGCGTCTACTCTGGAGGGCCTTGCCTGTGATGCTACTCACTAGGCGGCGCGCTGCTCAGTAAGTCCGTGCACTACAGCGTAAACAAATGGGCGCCAGGGCGTGAGGCTGGCGGCTCAAGGGGGCCTCGTTCTAAAAAACAAGCCGAGCACCCTCACGCTCACACACTCATAAATCTCGGGCCCCAAGAAGTCAAACAGGCTGGCTTCTTATCAGCAGAGAAAACGTAGCCAGATCGCGACCGACATCAGCGCACGACTAAGACTATGCAGAGACACCGACACAACGAGGAAAGCGCTTCACTTCGCAAGGCAGGGGCCCGCGCCACTCAATCA